TTTTTTTTTAATCCTTACTTACCGTCAGACCCAAGCATTACAACAACTGTGATTCACCCTACCAAAGAAAATCACACGATAACGAACTACATAAAGAACAACAACAACAACAAAATAAAATTAGCGTCTTAGCGTCTTTGTTTTTTAAAGTTTGACTTTTAGTCACTTCCAGGTTTTCCTCCTGATGCCTTCACGCTGCTCCAAGAGCTGGGTGAGGCAGCACTGGCGGCCATTCCTTGGGTGCTGCCGCAGGACGCAGCTGTGTGTCCACCTGCACCGCCTCCCCGACCTCCCCGCTCCACAGCCCTCCCTGCCCAGAGCTCCTCCTGATCTTTACCCTACATCTTAGTTTAGCCCTAGGAGGAGTCTATCTTGGCTGCAGCTGTGCACAGCTCTTCGTCCTTCAGGCGGCTGCTGGCTTCGTGCTCCACCGGCTGGCCTGCACACGTCTAAATCACGTTCCTTGAGGCCAGGCAGTGCTTCTTGCTCCTTCACCCATTCTGTGGCACGAAGATCCCCCCAATGGAGAGCACCACCCTCAAGCCCTGCTCATGGCTGCAAGCTGAAGCCATGGCCCATATACTTATTTCCTCTTGTCAGATTTCTTTGGGAACATTCAGATGGCTGGGAGCAGCCCCAAGCAGAATGCTAAGCATGGTTATATATGCACTGGTGCTCCCCAGCGCTTACCTTCTTCTCAGAGACCTCAGGATCTCAGCCCGGCCCTCTGTCCCACCCTCTGCCCTCCTTTCCTTCCTCCTCTGCTGAGGACACCCACCTTTCCTTTTGGGTCATCCAAAAGTATGCTTCTGGGCTGAAGCTAGAAAACATTCAGTTAATAACATCATCCCACAGATGGGTGTCAGTTCTCCTGCTTTAACACAACCAGGAATGTGTATTTTTTATTGCCCTCAGAACTGGGCCCTGGTGGGGAGCACTGCCTGAGCAGGGCTCAGGGCCTGAGGAGGAATGGCCCAGCCCTGAGTCACACCAAACTTGGCTTCCCATCGGCCTCGTGGTAACTGCACTGCAGCTTGCACCCTGTGGCTGCACCAGTGCTAAAAGCAGGGCCTTGAACAGGGGTCTGCCCTGTTCTTGCTGGTGGGGTCTGTTTGTAAAGGACTGTGCTGTGCTGCCATCAAACATCTCTCCCTTCACACAAAATATCATCAAACGCTTGTACCTCCTATTCTGGGAACAGCTATGGACAGGCTTCTCTCATTCTCCACTGTTTATACCCTGGATACCATGCTACAGAAATACAGACTGATTGAAGCTGTTGAAGCTGACAGAGACCCCTGGGTCCATCTGCTCCAATCCCTGTCCAAGCAGGGACACCTGGAGCAGGGTGCCCAGGCCCACACCAGGACGCTTTTGGAGGTTCCTGAGGAGGAGACTGCAGCCTCTGGGCAGCCCGTGCCAGTGCTCCATCACCCATACAGCACAGTGCTGCCTGTTGTACAGAGAAAACCTCCTGTGTTCCAGTTCTGCTGCCCCTTGCCCTGGCACTGGGCACCACTGAAAAGGCTTAGCTATGTCTTCTTTGCACTGTCTGCTCAGATATTTGTACACATTGATGAGATCCCCCTGAGCCTCCTCTCCTCCAGGCTGAACAGTCCTAGATCTCTCCAGTCCTTTCAGCATCTTGGTGGCCTTTCATTAAATTCTCACCAGTAGCTTTATGCGCTCCATATGCTCTCGGCCACCTAGAAATGCCCCTAGGAGCTAGTGGTATCTGACTCAGCATTCTTCTAGGGTTATTTCCCTGTGGAAATTGCCATGTACGTATCTTTATTTGAAGTGGTATTTGTGGCCCAAAGAAGGGAGCAAGAGCAGTCTTGTTCCTCTGGATGTGATGCCTGGGGGATAGGCTGTGAAATCTGGCCCTCACGTGTGTAATTCCAAGCCCAGAAATCAGACCTACAGACCTCACAGTGCCAGCAGCAGCAACAAAAGGACCAGCTCTGCTCCTTCTTTAACTTACTAACCCCCAGAAACCAGCAGGTACCTACAATCAAAGAATCATTTTGATTGGAAAAGACCCCTAAGATCAAGTCCAGTCACCATATCCCTCAGCATCACATCCTCGTGTATCTTAACTACCTCCAGGGATGGTGACCCCACCACTTCCCTGGGCAACCCGTTCCAGTGTCTAACCACCCCTTCTGTGCAGAAATCATTCCTGATATCCAATGTAAACCTCCTCTGGTGCAACTGGAGTTTGTTTCCTCCTTCCTATAACTTGTCACCTGAGAAAAGACACTGACTCCCACCTTGCTTTCACTTCCTTTTGCATAGGTGTGGAAGAGCGCTGAGGTCTCCTCTCACCCTCCTTTTTTCACATGGAGTACTTCCTCTCACTTGCACTTCAGGTACTTTCTTAGAAGATTGAAAAAAAGAAAAAAGCCACAAAACACATGGAAGACTGCTAATTGATAACAATACAGCTGAGCAGGTTTAAGAGCAAAGCTGAAGTCCACCTAAACACTCTCCCACAAAGTTGTAGAAGCAATTAACTCCTTTTGGATTAAGAAACTTAGAAAACTTGTCTAAGTTTATCCCAGAATTTCCAAAGCCTGTCCCACTCCCCAAACCCAGGCCATCCTAATTGTGTTCTGAAGGCTGTTTTGTAGTTCTGAAGTCTGTAGTGCTGAAGCACTGGCTCAAACTCGGAATGCTTTAGAGTTAGTATCTCATCTATACAGTATTTAAGAGCAGAATGTGCTGTGTCATACTGGGCCCATCACAGAAGGTACAGATTAATATTCAGATGCAGGTTGGGTTGTTTTCATTGGCAACATCACACTGAGCTGTTTTTTATAAAAAGCGGTTGCTTGTCTCTAGGAGTAATATTTCTTTTTTTGATCAGAAAGACAATGCCAGTGTCTGGTGCTGCTTCTTGCATCATCTCCTGCATTTACATATTCGTAGATTTAATTTCATCATAAATGCTTTTGTTCCCAAATGATTCACTGTTTGGAGTAAAGCACTCCACATTGCTCAGCTTTTCACATTAGTGATGTGAGTTAATCTGGAGACATAATAATGAGCATTTCATTCTACCTGCCGTGCTATAGGGCACCTGCAACCTCAACTGGCCAGATCCTCACTGCTGTTGCACTGCAAAGGGGTTTGCTTCCATTTCCCACTGTGTAGCAGTGTCCATGTGCCTGCACGAATATTTTCCACTTTTTTTAGGCTTTTGCTTTGGCATCTTTTAGTCACGCCCTGGAGAGACACCTGAAAGGAGAGAAATAAGTACCTCCACGTCAGCTTACGCACTGCTTCTAATTAAACCTTGCATAATGACAAAACCCTCTTGCCATTTGTTAAGATTTTCCCCACAGCATTCTGTATCCCCTTAATTAAGAGCAGGAGCTAAGTAATACCTATTTTATTCCCCGTTGCTTCCAATTAGGCATCCATTGATTATTACCTACTCGACATTTGACAATTAACAGAGCTCCCACTCTTTGCAAGACCAGAGGACGTACTTCTTCAGCAACACACACCCAGAATAGTGCATGGGGAGCTGTGGGGTGAGTGATGGAGTTAGAGGCAGGAGGGTATGGCCACCCAAGTGGAACAGAAGACATGTGCCATATGCAAATGTTCAGGATGCGGTGTGTGTTTGATACATGGGATGTATGTGAGGTCGTGTACAAAGCTCACTGGAGGCCTGGCTGCACATGGGAGGCATGGGAATTGAGGGCAAACTTTAGTTCTCAGATGATCAAACGTACCTCAGCCTCTGCCTTTAGAATACAAATCAAATCCCAGTGTGGCTTTTTACGTTTTTTAGCAGACCAGGAGTTAGCACCCGCTCTTTACTCCTGGATTGTTGGTGCAGATGGAGCTGAGCCCTGTGTCACCGTGGCCCCCATGAAGTCACTTCTGGCTGAACACCTATTTTTGGCTCCACCTGATTGTGCCCAGGCCATGGCCAACAGCAAGGGGTGCAGATGTTGTGTGAGCCAGAAGGGCACTGCTGCGTCCGTTTTCCAGCAGGAAGGAGCCTTCCTGGACAACTTCTGAGCAAAATCCTGAGGTGTGATGGGGCTGGAAGGCAGCCCAGAGCATTGCAGGTGTGAATACTGAGTCAGTGGTGCCAAAGTTTTGGGCAGAGTGAACCCCAGAGTAAGCAGATAAAGCTACAGCACGATCAGAAACCTTCCCTGCTTTTTTTTTTTTTTTTCCTTGAAAGAAAATCCAGTCTCAGGATTGGTGTGAAGATGGGACCACCAGCAGCCCCCACACATTGCACAGTGCTCTGAGTGCAGGAGCTCAGCAACAAATGCTGATGTACAGAAAGGCGGCCCAGAGCCTTCAGCAAGCTGCAGCCCAGCCAGGGAGGAAGAAGGAGAATCTCATATCTGTGCTCTTTGCCCTTGTAGCCATTTATGGAGCTTAATGCTGAGTTATTCCCAACAGTGAGCAGAACAATCCCGCTCCCACCTGCCTCAGGTGGGTAGGCATAATGCCTTCCCTTCAGACACAGGTCCTGGGGCATTTTGCCCACAGTCTTAGATACATGCTACTCACTCTCCCTTCATCACTTGTTTACGCTGTGTAAAAGCACCTGCAGCCCGAGCTCACTGCTCTGCTGTCTTCTAGTGGCCCACAGTAGAACACAGGTGCCACCAGCACAGTCGGTGCTGAGACCTCTGGCTCTCCCCACACACCACATGAGGTACAGCCCACACGGAACGTTGTGCATCCCAGCAAGGCACTCCTCTCCCTGTTGGCCTTCTGCAGGCCCCACATTGCAGCCGTGCCCTTGGGAGAAAGGTTTTCCCTCCCTGACTCGGGAATCAGCCACAGAAGCTCTGTGCCATGACTGCAGGCCCCAAACACTGCAGGGCTGTGCTCACTGCCCTTCTCCTGGCTTGTGCAAGGAGTAGGAGCCAGCAAAGAGGAAAAAAGAAAGCCTACACGAGAAGCTCTTTTGTTATTAACACCATTCTGTCCTCTAATCCACTCACGTCCTGTTTTACAAATGCATTTTTGTTAAGTGTGCTGCTGCGGGGGGGAGAATACAAGGAGATGAATTGATGTTTGTGTAGGTATAGATGTTGCGTGTGAACTGCATTTTGATATATACACACAAGAACACTGGCTGTATTAAACATTAACAGAAAACATCTCACAGACAGAAGTGAAGCTGGCACTTCCCTCCTCATGTTCAGACCGCACCTTGATTTCAGCTATCAGAGTGCTCCTGGTAACTCAATGGCCCTGGGAGGCAGAGCTTCATGCTCCGTGTGGGAGGCAGCCTTGCCAGGGGCCCTTATCCTTTTCTGCTGATAGAATGTGGATTCTCTATTGGTCTGTGCAGGAAAATCCAAACTTAAAATGTCCCCTCCTTCAGTGAAGGCGGCAGGGAACACTGCCCTGACGCACAGAAGCCCCTTCAGTGTGTGAGTCACAGGAAATTATAATCACTGCTACTGAGATTGCAGAACTCAATGAGATTTCTGAGCTGCAAACAGACTTCAATCATTCTTGAAAGACAGACCCTCAAACTGACATGATTTGAGAAAATATATATGCTTTTGTCTGCACTGCTGGTGGTAATTTCCCATTAGACAGGAAAAGCCGCCTTTGATGGATGAATATTGTCTCGCATTAGAAGAGGAGCTACTGTATATACACTAATAGCTCTTGCATATTGGGTTCAGCCTCACATGAGGCCCTTAGACCCTCAGGGTGCAATATGGTAGCAATCACCAACATGCTGCATTCTTTATTTGAGCATCTGAGAAATGGACGGTCCTTATCCAAATTAATCTGACCAACTTCCCACTCACCTCCAAGTTCTGTGGCAAGGTCAAATACATGCAGCACTCTGCCCTCGTGGTGAGCAGTGAGTTCTTTCCAAGATACAGACTTCATGAGGAGTGCTCGCACTGTAGACAGATTTTCCATACGGATTACTTCTCTTAATGTTAGCAGTTAATCAGTTTTCCATTGTGTATTTACTTTCTATTTATTTTCTACAGTGGTAATTAAACCAAAGTCAGCACGTCACGTAGAACTAAGTTGAACACTTTTTGCAGAAGCCAAAGAACATCGTGTCAGTGCCTTTGACAAACTTTGGATCTTTCGGAGGATCCACCAAGTCTCCCATTACTTCCTTCCCACAGAAATGTGTTAGCAGGCATTAATTGTACCAATTGTCCCTTTTGTGGCAGTGTAGCATCTCTGCCTGTCATTTCTCCTGTGACTGGCATTAGAGGAATCCACCCAATGATAGGGATCACCCCCAGAGTCCTCCCAGCTGTCGGTGGGTCACCTCTTCATGTAGGTTTGGAGTCAGGCGGGCTGCTGCAGGGAGCTTTTGGCCAACCGTCTTCACCTGGCTGTGATTTATTTAGCCTTACATTAAACACTATTATTGGAGAGAAGAGGATGTTTTTAGATATTTTCTACTTCTACACTCACCACACAGCTATGTGTGGTGTATACACAGTGGCTAAGGAAACAATCTTATTAATTTATAGCAAAAATGCTAACAACCTTGTATAAATTTTACTAATGTTTTTATTTGAGAGATTAAAAAACCCAAACAACAAAACTCCCAACATTAAGAAAAAAAAGCAGAAGAGCTACCGATGAGAAATGGTCTGGATCTGCCCCCCAACAGTAGCAGCTGTCTGCACATGGCTGCAGGCAGGTACTCACAGACTGAATGTGACATGAGGAACCGCAAACTCGAGAATTAGAAATAAAGGCCATAAAATCCCAATGACTCCCCATCTCAGTCTTACTTCCAATGAGAAACACAGGCAAAATTCCAAATGCTTTAGCCTCATCCCATCTGCTATTGAGCTTGGAAGGATGACCGTGCTTTGCCACCCTTGTCTGGGTTCATGACGTTTTGGCTTCAGCAGCCAGCTGAGCTGCTGCAGAGAGCTTAGCGCAGTGGGAGATGCTTTAAGGCAGGAGCTAGCTGTGGGAAAAAGGACCACAACTCACCTTGTAAGTATTAAGAGGAGACTGATTTTAAAAAGTCCGACAAGAATTATGGCCTCTTCGGTGTTCCACAGCTACAGGTACAGAAACACTGAATATAGCATGTACATAACGTTACTTATAGACTCTACACGTAAAACGTTAACCAGTTTATCATGGAAGTCTGGTAACAAGCAACATTGCCATGTAAATTCACACTTGGAGAAAGGCTGAGTGCAGAACTCTCTTTGCAAGAGGATTTGCAGTCACTGCTTTGTATAGAAAATACAAAAACAACGATGACAGTATTTTCTCCAAATCTCAATGCGTCATTGTGTTAGATTTCAGGAACCAAAAAAAGTTTTCTTTAGAAAACGTGTGGCTATTCAGGCTACAAATTCACAACCTAATTATTAAATAATTAAAAAAATGCTTAAACTGTCATGACGTCTTACTTGGCTGCAATATTTTAGAGCAACGACAACAATACAAGGCATAGATTTCTTTTTCCTGCAACACTTGCAAATGCATTCATATTAAAAGCAAAGGAATTATTGAAGAAGAAACTCTTCTGCAGAACAGAGGAGAGACCAGCTGTGCACTCAACCACCTTCCTTACAGTTGAACTCCAGCTGCTTACAAACATACTGACTTCAGAATTCTGAAAATGGTGCCCCATAGGTCTGCACACTCCTACCAAATACGGAGCCCCAAAGAGCACGACACCCCTTCTTGAAACATTCTTATCTCCTCTCCACCGTTATCTCCACAATTTAAACAAAAGAACAACTATCCAAATGTAAAATGCTCTTTTTTTTTTTTTAATTACTAAATTAAGAAAGTTAAACAGTTTTAAAATGTAAACTTGCAAATAAACCATAACAAAATGTAATTAAGACTTTAAAATTTGCAACTCAGTATTAAAAACTCAATAGAAATAGAAAGGAATTTTTTTTTTTTTTTTTTTTTTTTTGGTTAAACGTAAGTAATTCAAGGCTGGTACAGACAACTGAAAAGGTAATACTTTGTTCTGTGCATCTCCCATGAAATGTAAAGAAGTGCATAGTAATTCCACTGGAGAACTTGCAGACACAGAGAAAGTACTTTCATTAGCAGTACAGGACATTGAACACACTTATTTTACAATGGAAAAAATGTTACACATAAAACAGAAGAATCCTAGTTGCGTGACCAACAGTTTAGCATTGGACATGGCTAAAATGCTATGATTTTAAGACCATCTGAATGTGGTTACACGGTTTAATAAATCTTTTTGAAACGTTTCAGTATACACGTTCTGATACAAGAAGTCCTCGCAGTTTCCATTTTCCAGTTCCAACGGTGATGCTGTAGTTTTCTCGCTTTAAATATGTTCATTTTAGTTTCAAGAACAAATCATCACACACTTGTTAAACATCGGAAACATTACTGTAAATACAGCACATGATTCCTGAAAGAGCAAAGTTACAACCATCTACAGGTACATAATCATAAACAAAAAGTGCAATCCAATTTAAAAAAATCATGCTTGGCAAAAGCCAAAAATTAGACCACTGGCTTCCACAATCTCACCAGTGTTTTCATGTCTGCAGTAAAATTATCACTTTCTGGATACTGCTGCAGCAGGATTCATTCAGTTCAAAATGAGCTTCCTCTGCAGTAGCACCCGTATACGGTATGTACACGTATGTATATATATTATATATATTTTATATATAAAAAAGCAAAAAACCAAACACCTGTCCTGATTTTTTTTTTCTTTCTTTTTTTTTTTTTTCTGTTAAAACATGAAAAAAAATGTTTTAGACAAAGAGGCCACTTCTGGAAAATAATACTTTTAGTTGGATCAGGAGAAGACTAGTTAAAATCACATAGGTTTTGCGTTTTAAAAAAAGGAAAGCACTAGGATCAGTTATTGGCACTGAGTTACTATTTACAATGAACAGAGGTTTTGCAGTTTACATAACATCAATATAATGCAGTTTAGGAGTCTTTGATTAAGAAAAAACAAGTGTTTTTCTCCTTTTCATCCAGGACATTCAGATTATTAGGACAAGTGGTCATAGGCGAGGGCTGCTTGAGTTCCCAGCTCCAGCCCCTCTGTGTCCAGTGGTACTGGGAGATGCTGCTGCACTCCTGGAAGCCAATCATGGAGCTGGACGCTGAAGGGCAGGTGGGGCAGGGCTGAGGGACACCTGGCAATTCGTGACAGTGTGTGGAGACCAGGGAGTTACAGGTTGTCACCGGGCTGGTACTGGGGTTCTGTTGCAGTAAAGTAGTCTTCGAGAAAACCCTGCAAATATTCAAAAGTTGGACGCTCCTCTGGGTCTTTTTTCCAGCAGTGAATCATAAGCTCGTGCAAGGAGATGGGACAGTCCTGAGGACAGGGCATCCGATAACCGCGTTCTACTTGCTCCAAGACTTCACGGTTGTTCATGCCTGGAAGGACAGACAAACCCACACTGCTGAATCATGGGAAAACTAACTCAGGTATAACCGTACCTACAATACATACAATTTTCCCATCCATACTCATTTCTTTTGGTTAACAGGAAAAAAAAACCAAACCCAAACCACTCTGATGTCTGGTTTCAGCTCTTCATCTCCTGCAAGACTACCCGGACTATTTGCTTTTTCCATAGAGAGTTATAACATTCAATGATGACTAAAATGCTTCTCCCACAATTACCCTCTTGGCTTACTCAGAATGGGTAGGATTTGGCACTTTCCTTCCCCTGCCACAGTGGCCATGTTACATGAAACGTTAAAGAAATTAGTTGCGTTACAACAAATAAGATTCTAAATTCTAAAAACTAAGATTAATTTTTAGAACACCCTGAGCATGGGCCTTTATTTAAGGACTTTGTGAGGTTGTGCTGCACAGGCTGCAAGATAACAAACACTGCTGCTTGAGGCTGCCAGGCATTACTTTCACATCAGGTCAAAAGCTCACTCTGCTAATGGTCTGTGCTGGACAACATTACTTCTACCACATTGTGTTGTTCCATCCCAACCCAGAAGAGGACAAAGTTGTTCAGAAGACAACTGAATGGTCAAACAAAACAGGCCTGTGGAAGAAGTGTAGATTTCTTTCCAATAGGCAAATTATTCTACCGTCATGTTTTCTGTTTAAGAGATAAGCCAGACTCTTTGCTACCTTGTATTTTCGATGTAACCCCTTCAATTCTTGATTTCTCCACTGTTTTTACATTTACACACATTACAATTTACCATACAAGTGTTCTCGCCATATCTTAATTGTAGTGAACCTTAGCTTTGGTTTTAAATATCTCTTCCAGTTACTCCTTTGGCTTTTTTACAATACCAAAGGTAAGACTGACACCGCAGGCATGCAGACATATTCCAGGGAAAGCATTTTGACTGCATGCCATATGCTCATCTCTAGGCAACTCTGGCCCCAGTCCTCTGCTGAAAAGCAACAGCCAACTTCATTGCCCTGACTAAGTGGATCCTGCCAGCCAAGTCCGCAGGAAAACCAGGAGGGACACTGAAGGTCCTACACAACAAATTCAGAAATACATACATTCATGTTACTCTTTTTGCTAGCTGATTCTCCCCCTGCATCCAAGACTCCATCATCATGCCTTGTTCTTTCAGGGTGCTCTCTTGAAGATCCTTCTGGCTTCACGTTCAGGACTCAGAGGATCTCTTCCTTTCACTCCGTGTATTTGCCAGAAATAATTCTACAACCTTCTTCAGTACAGATTCATTTACCTACCCTACACCTTGGCTGGTGAGAGCAGTATCCTTACTCTGAGTGACATTTAGGCTGGTAACTCAGCAGTATCTGGGCTTTACTCTGTGTCCTCATATTCTAGCTGTGTTTAATTCTAAGAGGTTAGAATTAACTCAAAGATGCTCTTTGAAATGAGCATCTGTAAGATAGAGCATTTCCTGACCACCCACATCTAGATTCTCATCTCATGTTACGATTACAAAATACCATTTCCTCTTATCTTGACAGGGCAATTTCCTCCTGTTGATAATCCATTTGCAGTGTCTCTGTAACGATCATTTTCCCAGCCTCTGGCTGTAACCGTCCCTTCCATGCTCTCGCCTTTTGCTTCTTCTTGCCCACTATGTCAAACACAGTGGCTTATTTTCACTTCCATAGCCTCTCACAGGCAGCCCCATGAGTGTCTCATGTAGTCAAGCTCTTGTTGCTTTCCAGTTCTGGTTAGAACACTGCATCACCTTAGCTTTCCAAACAAGAACCAACAGGCTGTTTCATACTGCTACCGCTCATGGAGGAACCTCCCAGAAAACTGCCTCATCCTCCTACAAACCTTGCTTTACTGTCTCCTTCAGCAATGATGGTTGCAAAAGGAAGAGTGAGATTACTGGTTTATAGCATTCCCTACCCTGCAAACAACATGTTAGCACTGGTTTCTTGTGTTAGATTTATCACCTGCATTCACTTACTATATGCATGGTGCTACGTGTAACATGGTCTGTAGCTTAGAATCCTTTGCAGACATTAAATGGTGTTCTCCTGTATTATCACGTCCAAACTGTTGCTCACAACAAACCAGAAAAGCTTGCCACAAACAGAACAAACTTTTGGATGTTCCTCATTATTGGCAACTCTGCTCACAGAAGGAGGATGGAACTGGATGATCTTTGAGGCGCCTCCCAACCTAAGCCACTCTGTGATTCTATGATCTAACTAGAACATTTTCAAACATATTCTACTTTTTCATTAAATTGCAAAAGAACACTAGTGGTCTGTGAGTCATCACCAACCCAAAGCAAGCATCAGCCCAAACGTTCTGGCCTTGCTGTTTGTGAGATGCTATAAGAAAAATGGGCATTTTGCTCATGTTGCGTTCTCACCAATAGTTTTTTTAAATTTGTGATTTGAACCAAAACCAGCACTGTTTTTATGTATGAATTACTTCATATTTTGAGCTAAGAGCTTAGCCCAAGCACTGCTTCCCTTAAACATAAAAGATTGAAAAAAATTAGTGTTACCAAATAAGTTATCTACTGTATATACCTAAACCTCAAAGAAACTGAATTCTTTGTTTTTCTTTTGGCAGTACTCCTGTAAGTACAACAGGGATGGAAGCAACATCAGCAGGAAAGCTCCTTCCCAACTGATTTGTTATTCTAAGATATCAGATGTTTGGTACTTTATCCAGTGTATTACTCAGTGCTGCAAGCACACTCTGAAACTCGATAAAAAAATATACACTGGAAGAAAAACCCCCAGGAAGGGGTGGAGGGGAGTGAAAACACAAGCAGCTCTTCACTTCCCTTTTCTTTTAAAAAAGATGCCTGGAGCCACAGTCATTGGTGTCCTTGGAAAGACAATGAAGCCAGGTTTTGCTCATCGTGGTATTATCCAGGAAAACGCCCTTCTCTTCCTTTCTTCTTTCTCCTCCCTCCCAGTAAAACCCAGATATGAAACTAAATCAAGCAATCTCCATGTTCCCTGTTGGAATTCACGTGTCCAGCAAGGGCTGCAGAATCCTTCTGCCAAAAAAAATCCGTTGGCTTTGACATGTGCTACTAATTTAAACAAGGAGTTTCAAATGCTTCTTTTTTTTTTTTCAAAATCTTGCTTACATTATTAGTCAGATTTAGATGAACAGCAGTGTTTTAGGTATGCTTTTTACTTCGTAAAAAGCCTATTTATATTTACAAACCTATTATCTGGATTCGTTTATCTTATCCTGCAAGTTGAAGTGTTTCTGTTTTGATTGCAGGAGCCTGTTGTATCTGCACTTCTAACACCATAGAGAGAATATTTGAGCAGCCTGTACAACTCTTCTCTCCTAATGAATACCCGAGAGTTTCAACTCTTTTTGTTAATAATAGATGAAATTCTGATTGCAATAGGCTTCTAGAAGCCTTAAAAGTTTATTTAAAAAACACCTTATGTCTGTGGAATAAACTACTCAGCAATGTTCTTCTACTGACTCCAGTTATTTCGCCTCCTTTAAAATTAGTCTGTGTTCATAATGTTCCTAGAACTAGTAACTGGGCCAAAAAGGAAGCATCCCATTTCCAAAAGATGGGTTTTCCATAAGTTACTTAATCCTTGAGAAAATGAAAAATGAAATAACCTCCCACTATCCAGTTTTATTATTGAAACTTCCAATAGTTGTAGGACACTGTGGGATATGACCACTGTAAAGCTCAATACAGTAAAAATCTACAGCCTGTACAGACTGGGGGTAGAAATGCAATGCAGCATGAATCCTCCTACAAAAGCTACAATAGTAAGAGTTACAATGATATAAAAGGGAATGTAAAATTTCCAGTTGTGGCTAAAAAAACTTAGAACTTGGTTGGGTGGAACAAAGCAAATAACACAAACTTAGGCAATGCTGCTGTTGCAGAGGACAGGAAACAAGATTACTGAAACTTGGGAGCATCCCCATATCCAAAATTTATGTTATATAGATTACTTTGGGCAACATTAAGTCCACTGAGGACAGAGATGATTTTAAGCCACCTTATTCTTGTTTTTTTCTTTTGGATTGAGAATTACCCTTTTTCAACACCCACTGTATGATTTCAGTCCAATAAGCAAGCTCATACAGATACAAATGCTTAACGTTGGATTTTTAAAACAACAGCTTAGCTGCTGTCCAGTCTCTGATATGTGGTATTTTAGATTCTCCAAATCCAAAGTTGTGCCTCTACTCGTGTTCACAGGTTCCTAAGTTGTGCCTCTACTCGTGTTCAGAGGTTCTCAGTCTTGGAAGGGTTTGCACATCTCTAGTACTAGAGAAGTACTGTGCCATCCTCCATAGGGGCTGGATCACATTGGTGCTCTCAGAGAGCAAGGTAACACAGAGGCAGCTTAATCTGCAGGTTTTGTTTAATTGGATTTGGAATCAGAATTCCTGAATTCTGTGAGCAGCCCCATAGAAGAGCTAGGTGAAAGGAGAGGGATGGTGTGTGGGGCTCAGAAAGGGGTACCATTCCATACCCACAAATGATAGAGTACTGAAGGAAATGGGAAAGCTGCTCCCTAAGGAAAACAACCTTTGAAGCATAATGCTGTTTGTCTTTTTACAGATTAATATGAACTCAATTATTACTGTGCAAAAATAGTAACAATTTTTAAACATCTGTAAATCATAGAATCATTTAGGTTGGAAAAGACCACTGAGAACCACTAGTCCAACCATAGACCCAACACCATCACACCCACTAACCCCTGTCTCTAAATGCCACGTCCATCCTTTTCTTGAAAACCTCCAGGAATGCTGGCTCCACCACTTCCCTGGGCAGCATCTAAAAATTAAGGCCTGAAATTCCCCAAATAGTTCTCACATTCAAAACACCCACAAATCAAGGCAGAAAACAGAAGGGGTGAGTTCAAAGATGTTTGTTTAGTGCAGCTGAAAATTTTGCCTGTGCAAAAGGTAACATTAAATAAAAATAAAATCAAATTCTGACAACTGCTTGAGAAATGCAGCTTCCTACTCTTAAACTCCATTAAAAAGATACTAAGATCCAAGAGAAATTTGTGGAAAGAGAAAGAAACAGAATGAAAAAGGTTTACTAAGCAGATTACTTTTTAAACTTGGCTTCTCTTCTGCACATATCCAGCTTTTACTTCCCTACTATGGTAGTGAAAATAGAACCTCAACACCCAGAACAATTATGCTGTCTTGTGAGAAGAATAAGAAAACACTGTTAACACAGCAGTCCATTATCATTATGTCCATTGATAGAGAAACAGGCCTGGTTGAAGGATGAAGATGAGGACACCTGTCAAAAAGTCAGTCTTGCCTGTGGGAGCTATAAGGTCAGGGAGCAATGCTGGATCATGAACTCCAGCTTGATGTTCACCTCTGCCAGTAAAATCTTTATTGTTCATGTGTCCTACCTCTGCTCTGGCCTCTCTTCCAAAAAGAGGTCATTCATCTGGCTGAAATCTGGAGGAGAATGAATGCCAAGTCCTGCTCTACTCACTAGTCCTGTTCCCCTCCTAAAAACTGCCTGCCTTCTCCCTGTGCCCTTCTTGATGTACTTCTCCCTCCTACATAAGCTTAAAACAACGCCTGATTCTTCAAGGCATGAGGTACTGTGCCCTGGAGGCATAGTTACCATCTCAGAATTAGAGTGCATGATAGAATCACAGAATTACAAAATATCCTGTGTTGGAAAGGGCTCACAAGATCCTTCAAGTCCAGCTCCTGGCTCTGCACAGGACCACCCAAAATTCAAGCACCATGTCTGAGAGTGTTGTCCAAATGCTGCTTGAATTCTGGCAGCTTGGGGTGGTGATCACCTTTTCCTTATCTCCTCTTGTGACACAGCTCCATGCCGTTCCCTCAGATCCTACTGCTTGTCACAGTAGGGCTCAGTCCTGCCTCCTGGGGTGGCTGAACACCTATCTCTTCCTTCTTTATGCAAGCCATGATGTGAAGGCAGGAAAAACCTTAGGTAAAGCTGACAGGGAGGGAGTGATGGTGATCACCAGAATGCTTAAGGCCTGGCTGAGCAGAGGCAGAAGCCATGGCAAGGGGGAAGGAGCCTAGTATAGAGCTCAGGCAAGGTGTAACCTAGGATGTACATGACCACATGACCGGCTGGTGAAAAAAAAATCTTTTACAGTGAGAGTGGTGAGGCACTGGAACAGGTTGCCTAGAGATGTGGTTAATGCTCTGTCCCTGGGGACTTCTAAGCTGAGGTTGGATCAGTCCCTTGACAACCTGATCTAGCTGTGGTGTCCCTGTTCACTGCAGGGAAGTTGGACTAGATGGCTAGAGATCCTTCCAACTCTAAGGATTCTACGATTCCGTGATTCTATGAATGTCAACTCTGTGCCATGTAACTCACAAAAAGTTGATATAGCTACTTGATGCTATTCTAGTATGTCTGGGGGAGAATGAACCGGAAGGATTTTCAGTGTGTGAGGGCTTTATGCGGTGTGGGATGAAGGGGCAGGACAGTGCTAGAAGAGGAGAAACACTGCTAGTTGTCTTTGAAGTGTTCAGGCTGCCATGTAATAAAACTGTCCACATTTTCAGGACACAGACCAGGCCTGAGATTTCTGTCAAGGATCCAACAAGAAGTCATATATTACAAGCACTTAAGAGCACATCCAGTGGTCTCCTTCTCCCACAGGGAGAAAAATGAACACTTGGGAAATGTGTCTATCCTCTACTGACCTGGCTAACACAGTGTTCAATTACTGTGGGCCAACAAAGAGCTCAGACAGTCACTTTTGCCTACAGTAGTATTATTTCCTGTGTGTGTGTGTATCTACACTCATGCATGTGATAAAAGATAAGTTGCTATGCACTGCTGCCTCACAAATGTAAAACTCAGCAAAAAAAAAAACCAAAGAAGCCTTAACTTTGCCCTGGCTGGCAAGAGCCTCTTGACATCCATTCTGCTGGTACTGACCAGAAGCATCCTCTTCCTGCATCCACCCAGGATCTCTGCTCACCCTAGAGAAGCAACGCCGTAGCAGCGAAGTCTTACACATATTCTTTCTATCTTCGACCTTTGCACACAGTCCACGACTGCTCATTTAACCCTCAGTAACCCCCTGAAAATCACTGTTCCCCAAGCCTGATAATCCACATAGCAAGAAGACCTTTCTCCCAGACACTGACACAAACACTGTCCAGAGGCAACACCCTGTTCTTCAACCATACAGGGAACTGTGGGGCAGAGGGATTCATCTATCCCACAGAAACACACAACCTCTCTTTCTGTTCCTTCATTCTCTTGGCACAATCACAGCTTTGCTAAGCTGCTCTCTGCCAGTCATTGTAAAATTCACTGCTGATCATGAAAAGCCTTCCAGTTCCCATATTTCCTTCCCAATTATCAGCTGCTGGCTCCTAGGAACTAGTAAAGCTGAAATTTCTCAAAAACTCTGGGAGTTCAAATTTGCTGAGCTCAGCTTTCTGAAGTGGCACAAAATACAAAAGGATAAATTGAACTCCACCTTGATGCTTTTCTTGCTGTATTTGATGTATGGGCCAGACTGCTTGATAGTGGCAAGACTGGCAAACTGGAAATGCTCTAGGACACTTTCCACTAAATCAGCTGCAATGCACACAGCCAAGGTTTCCTAGGGAGAAATTAAGAAGCAAAAATGCAGCTAGATGCTGTAATTAGTATCCGTGGTGATAAGTAAATGAAGGGATTAAATTCTTTTCCATGTAACACACTGCTTTCTCCTTACCTCCTTCCTCTTCACCTGAATGTCCACAGTTTTCAGAGGAGGCAGAAGGCAAAGCTCTTTCTGCACAGGCAGATCCAATCACCCTGGCTACAAATCTTAATCCATGGGATACTTGGCAGTCTTTCAACAAAGAGTCATGGGGCCTCTGGTTCCCCCATGCAGAGAACCTGGCCCTTCCCTGACCCTGCCGTGAGCTCTGGCCTGCACATTACACACTTTTTCTCTCCCTTCCATCCATGCCTAACAGAAGGGTTGAAATTTAAGAGTATGTAAAAAGGAGATTTGGTAATGCCAAACATTCAGACAGTCACCAGACCTTGTACAGAACCAGAGTGACAGAACAAATATAGTAATGCTGTATTCAGAACAAATACAGTATTCTGGGAGTTTGTTGGTATTTTAAAGGGAACGCAAATGTGAGCAATGATTTTCTCCGGTATGCAGTTGTTTTACCTTGCTTTCATTATTTTGCTAGAAAGTAAATTAATTGAAAACAATTAAAAACATAGAAACAAGTACGCTGGATTTCCTGTCCTCTTGTTCATGACCAACACTCACTGGCTTTCAGTCAGGATCACGTCCTTCCAAGCATACACAGAACTTCTGCATGATAACCATCCTCCTCTGAGCCCAACGACAAGAAGCACACATCCCAGTTTAAGCACATGGCTCATTCCCACTCTTTTCCCCCAGTGATGCAAGGCTCAGATGGTTTTCTTACCTGGGTATGGCACTCTCCCTTTTGTTACCAGCTCTGTCAGTAAGATCCCAAAAGACCACACATCCGACTTGATTGTGAACCTTCCATACAATGCTGCTTCTGGTGCAGTCCATTTAATGGGAAACTTTGCACCTAGTGAAAGAAGAAATGAGTCTTAAACAAAATAGCGATGGAATCAAAGCACCCGTTTGCAGGCGACTGCTTTGTTCTGCAACAGTTGCAGGGTGAAGAAGCAAGCATTAACAAACAGCTCCATGGGGTATGCTCTCACAGGACACTTGGGTGGAATGTGTAGGGCAAAAAGAAAGTCTTAGCAGGCAAGGATGGGCTTGTTCCAAGAGAGGGCTAAGATTTTAATTCAGATTTGAAGTTTTACATAAGAAAAAAGGCATAAAATCCAATAAGCTCAATAAAATAGAAATTCATTCTGCCAAAATGTTTCAAATCAACATTTCCCTGTGATATTTGCAAGTCACAGCATGTTGAATAGAAGTGAGATTTATTAGAAATGTACCTCCCGCTTTCCCTGCTCAAGCTCAGCAAAATGCAAAACAAACAAACATGGTAAAAACATAAATTAAAGACAAACACAATATTTCATTAGAAACATGCAAGGATTTAAATATAAGATTGCTACTCGAGATGCTTGGAGTGCAATGATGTCAAGGCACAACTGTGGCCTGTGATTTATAACTTGACAGTGTACTTTCAGCTCCTGGCACTGAAGACTGTAGTGCCTCAAATACGTGCAGCCTAATGTGCTCATCCATCATCAGGGCTTGCAGGATCCAGTTGTGGTAAGGATGGTAAGATAACAAGCCTTTAAACTCTGATTTATTTGCTTTTCCGATCATTTACTGTTTTCTTAGGGAAAATATTTTCAGTATGACTTTAAAGAAAAGTCTTGTGGTAATAATTAAGTCATAGCATGTACGAAAAAATACGCAATCATTTCCCTGGTGCCTTGTATTAACATAAAGGCAAAAGAGTTGCATTGCTAACAGTGGATCCCTAGCGACAAACTCTCAAATTTTGAAGCATACTGACTTTGACTTCTCACCACCCTCTCATAAAAGCTCCTTTAGCTTTCAGGATGAGTATGGAAATTGTAACGTGGACAAATGGCTTTTAGGGAATTAAGTTATGGCACTGTTTACAGTTCCCTGCTGACACCATTCCTCCACCACATCCAGTGCTTGATGCTCTGTACTTCTACTCTATGCTGCAATCTGGGTTGGACCAAGAGTACAAAGCAGACATGGCAATTCTCATTCCCTTACTTAGTAAAACATTAAAGTGATAACTTTTTTCCTACACTACATGTAATTGATCCTAAGAGACAATATTACTCAGGAACAAATATCTTTTTTCTAGTGAAAATTGCTGACACTCAAGTAAGTCCTCCTATATAAAAAGATGTAAGATAAAGAAAGCTTCAAATCCCTAATGCCTGAAGTTAGGGACATAAGGCTAGTTAAGCATCAGCACATCAGTGGTTGAATTTGCCAAGGTGCTGAAGGATTTGTGAGTGTCTTTTCACTTTCGAACAGCCTGCTTCTTATGTAGCCTCTACATTAGCCGATCTGCTGGAGCTCCTATTCTTGTGCTCAGCTTTGTCCTCAGTCTCCCCAGCTAAAACTTCATGGGAATAATTTTGGCGTACAAGACTCAAAATTTACAGAATCTCTTCTCTTGAAGTCCATCTGGGCTGTAATGTCTGAGGTCTCTGCAGCAGCCTGCCATCTCTGGAATGCTGTCCTTGACCGTGGCCTGACAGCACTGGTAGCCCTGTGGTTCTGGATGAGCTGGGACTGGCATATCCTGGGCCTACACACCACTTTCCAATCCCCGGAAAACCTGCAGGCTGCATGTATGTGCGGGTCAAGTTCCTTGGATCTGCAGGCATATCATGAACATGAGGACTATGTCCCTCTGTCCTCACACATGTTGCAGCTGGGATAGCACACAAATACAATTCTAACTGAATGAAGCCTGAAAGCCTGGACAGGGTCTGATCACATGTGAGATGACCAAGCCTGAAGGTTTGCTTGTTCGCTTGTTGCACATACTTTATTCAACAATTTCTTTCTTTCTTTCTTCTTTTTCTTTTTTTGTTTTGTTTTGTTGTTTTTGATCAGTTGTGTTTCCCTGAGAGGCTGAGACCTTCTGCTTCCCAGCTGAACCAGATGACCTTAATTCAGAGGTCCTCTCCAACTTCAGCCATTCCGTGACCCTGTTCTTGGCGCTCAGATAGAAAGATAGCATTAAAATGTCATCTTTGGAGGAAAGAAATCTCTTTAGTCTCCTTTGAGGCCAACTGCCCCAGTGTTTTCACCCTGCTGCTGTTGTGGCATGAGGAGGTGACTCTGTGGTATGTTGAAGGGTCATGGGAAGATAGGAGAATAGGTGAGAAGGTGGGGGGGGCACAATTCCAGCATATCATTTTTACTGAGAGCTAGAGCAATGTAAGCCCCACTGCTGGAGAAGACAAACAATTTATGCTGTTGATTTTTCTGATGGCAGGGTGACTACTTGTTACATTGCTATGTTGCCTCTACATCTGGGGTCCTATCTAGACCAATTTATACATAAATCACAGTCTGCATTCTTTGCAGTGTTTCCTGAACCTCAGTTTGAAGGTACAGATGGGGAGGAGAGGAAGGAGAGGTTGGCAGAGAGGCCACCTGACTCCTGGTTTTCTAGCCCTGCAAGGCATGCTGGAGGCCAGATGGTCCAAGAGCATCCCATAGCAAACTTGTATAACAGAGCCCTAATTAAGGGAAAGTGGAAACCAGGTTCTCATAGCTGTAGTTTCAATGCACGCATTGCCATAAACCTAAAAGATCACACACAGCTTGCTTAGAACAAGGACAGGCAACGGCAAAGGGTAAGGAACCCTGTGAGCACCATCACAAGATACATGTGCTTGCACAGGAGCTCAAACAGCTGGCAGCATCGCTGATGCAGCGTGCAGGAGCCCATTACACCAACACTTTGACTAAATGGACCCCTTGCCTTGGAAACACAGGGCACTTCTTTGAAAACACAAAACCCACAATATGTGTTGAGCACCACTCCGAAGCCAAATTGCTGCTCCCCTTGCTCAGCATGGCTCCTGGCAGGCACACAACCCCTGTGCTCACCCAGCCCCCAGCATGGTGGTTAGGAAAAGCAGCCCCAGCTCAGCTTATTAAATATGCTGACTCCATGCCACATGCAAATTACAGCATCAGATCACCAGATAAAATGCATATTAGTGACAAGCATGTTAATAAATCTGATAAGCCAAATTACCCCAGCTGACAATGCAGCCTATCTGCCATTTTCAAGGCAGATTTTATGTTGCTGGGAGGGATCTCTCTTTTTATTTTTTGCTGGAACACACTGTATAACTAGGAGGTCAGTAACTCTGTCTGTACAAATTGCTCTCACACCACATTCCTAGGTCAGGATAGCCTGCCTTTGCCCCAGAGCAAATCTTCTTCTGTGGCTTTTATCTCCACGCCTTTTTGAAACATTTCAGCAAGGGAAAAGTCTTTTTTGGGTTTCTGTTCTGCATGGACGTGCAGCACGCCAAGGCTTCAGGCACAATGCAGGGTCAGATGCTGGCCCTGCCCTGGGGCACTTCTGTGAGCCCAAGTGCTGCTCTGCCCAGTACTCACACCTGGGAGCTTGTGAGTGAAAGGAAGCAGCCTCTGCTGCTGCTTCAGGTTCTCCTCAGCCCCAAGTGAGGCTTTGTGATGAGGAGTAGAGGGAGCCGAGATAACTGAGCAACACCAAGTGCAGCTCCTAGCATGGTTTCTTCTGAGGCCTGCAAAAATCCCTCAATTGTTCAGATCTCAATCTTGACAAACCAGAAAGCTCTGCAATTAATGCCCCAGAGTCACTGCTGCATTTCCTAGAAATGCTATGAAGCTGCTGCCTGTTGTAACCTTTAAAACCAAGCCCAGCACACCCAGTGCCAGAATCTATGAGTATGGGAACCCCTGGGTGAACAGCTGGGAAGCACAACTCAGCACCACATTGCTCCCGAGGCTGAAAAGAGAAGGCTACAAAGGGTAAAACTGAAATGCTGAAGTAAGCATGTAACAGGAAACGAGTCAGCCTTGGTAGGCGATGGGGTGTGCTGTGTGGGAGGGACCGTGCAATTGCATTTTTTGTGCTGTGAGAACTAACGTGAAATTACAAGCATGGCAAAATGTCAGGAGCCAGAGGCAGGCTGACCCTTCCCCAGGAATTGGGGAACAAGAGGTACAGCTGCGGGTGGGCCCAAACACAGCCCTAGCCCTCCCCGGACCTGTAAAGCTCCTTGCTGAGGGGGCAGAAGGCACCTCTGCTACCCCTCCAGGATCTGGGGTCGCTGCTGAGAAGCAGATGCTGTCCCCTCCTGCCTGCTCTTTGGCACTAAGTGAGGGCAAAGCCTGGGGCGCTGCAGCTGGTGGTGCAACCAATTGCCAACACCAGCGCTCAATCAACTGATGAGTGGTGAGACCAGGGAGAGAGTGGCAGAGGGAAATAGTGCCTGCTCTTTTCTAGGAAACAAAAATAAGAAGCATCACTGGTTTCTGAGCAGGGCAGGAAGGAGATATTTCTAAGCACTGAGGAGGCAAAAGTGATCCAAAAGTTTACAAACATGTATGAGAGCTCCCAGAATAGACCTGACTTGTCTGGAAGGCATCAGAAAGATTCTTAATGTTTCATGTGTGCTTGGAGCAGCATTACTGCAAGCCCTGCCGGTGAATGCAGTAGAAATATTGCCTGGAAAATAAATGCTCTTTTTGTATTAAGGCAATTTAAATTTGTATCAGTTGCTACAGCTTTGAATAGTAACAGCTCATCCGCAGCAGCTCCATGGAGCACTCAGCACAGCAATGCCATGTGCTTGGCCCAGACCCTGCAGAGCTGCGAACCAGATCAGTGCAGGGTAGCAGAGCTGCATGAGGAATCCTGTGCGTGCGGGTGAGGAGAAGTTTCTCTCCATACCACAGAGCACCAAGAATGCTAGGGGTTGCCCTGCAAGGCTAACACAGGCATAATCACTATGGAAGTACACAAGACTGAATATGCCCAACGTTGTGTGGGGGAAAAAGATGTTGCAACAGCGACAGCCAGAAGAACCAAGCCCTGATGGGGTGGACTGCAGTAAGTTCACTGCCATAGCCTTTAAAATGGGCGTCACTTTAATAGCATGTTTTTTTCCCTTTGATTACTCACTTCCTCTAAGAGTAAGAGGAGCCAAATGTTCATTACAAGCCAAGAACTTTTTTTGGTGTGTATTATTTAATGGCAGCATATAGCTGCTGGTCACACACTTTAAATCATTAGCAGTGTGACCATCTTTTTCCTTCCTGCCAATTGCTGAGAAATGGCAGCGCAGACAACAAACTGCTTTTTATTTACCTCTCTTAAATCAGGAGCAGTCAGACCTCCTTTGTTCAAACCAAAAAGAAAATAAACCGGTCGGTAAAACGTTACCACCAGGCTGAGTAATACCCACACAGGTTCAGGAATCCTGCACTCTAACCCGCTGGAGCTCAAAGCATCCCCATCTGTTTCCTTTCAAAATATTTAATCGGAGGCAGAAGTGACAGTGGGGGAAGGGAGCCGGAGATCAAGCGAGGCCGGAGAAAGCCAGCACTTCCCCAGACTGACAACAAGCTCCCTGCTAACTCACTTACAAGCCATGAAGAGGAAGACTGCTGCAGAGAGAGTGACCAAAGGCTTTAATCTTCAGATTTCATAAGGCAAAACATTTCCTCTCTCCCACAGGAGCTGCCAGTCTACAGCACTCCCCACCCCCTACCCTCTGCCAGCCAGGGTCTCCTCCCATGTCAGAATTCCCAGTGAAGCAGCGGTCAGCCAGATAAACAGAACGGTCCCCAGATGCATCCCCTCAGAGGCTGAAGTAATAGGTCATGGGAAACAAGCAAAGACAACCATTTCCTTCTGATACTGTGGTCGCCACCAAGCAGTGCTCAAAACCGAAGCCGAACTGAACAAACAGGATTGAATTTCACTTCAGAGAAAAATTCCAGTGGCATTTTAGAAGCTGTTTCTTCCTCGATAAATTAAAGGTCCTAGGCTCAACCCTGGCTGCCCACCTGCCTTGGAAGCCAGATGAATTGCAATGAAAAGTAAATTGAAAATAGGTTGCCTGGCCAGAAATGCACTCCTTCCAAATACAAGTTAACAATTAAGAAAGGGTGAAAAAATCGTTACCGAAAGGGGGCAAACATTTCTACAAGATGTCTGTGATTGCAACTCTTTGGGTCCACATTCCAAAGTCCTCTATGGCTCCAAAGGAGTTCAGCCTGACCTCAGTACAGGGAAGAAGCATGGTCCATTGCCTTGACGTATGAACAAATTTGAGTGACTTCTCCCCACGTGCACCACAAGATAGTACCATGCACACTGGAGTCAGGTCTCCTCAGTGTCAGTGACAGAGGTTGAATGCCAGACCTTTCCTAGCTGCTTTTTCCATGATACAAGAGATTTCACAGTGAAAGCAGGGCAGGGCATGTCTACCACTATGGTCCCTCTCCCTGCTAGTCCTGCCATTTTACTTTCTGCAGCTCAAAGATTTCTCACCAATAATCCAGTAACTTATTGTCTTAAACAATCTAAGCTTTTCCTCAACATTGCTCATGCAGGTTTTCAAGGATTTCTAACAGATAAAGAGAGCAAAACTATTTGAGAGATTTAAACCAGGAAGCAAACAGGTCATCAGAGGATTTCCTAGGGATCATGGGCTTGAAGAGATTTGGCCAGAAGTAGGTTACATACTTGTCTATTCAAACAAATAATTAGTCATGTCAAACTATACACTGGGCTGTTTCCAAAGGGAACAAAAGGCATGGCAGTAAAACAGACAAAAATGGAGATACTATAGAAAACAGTTTCAAAGCCATTTTACAGACTGGATCTGCTGCCTTTTTCAAGAGAAACCCTTCTTGTTTTGCAGAGGGGAGGGGACAGGAGGCAGCTTTCTGTCCAGCAGAGACTCTAGAGAGAACGACATGAAGCTATTTTTGCAAGCAAGGAGCAATTCTCACCCTCAGGTTTAACTCAGTAGCAGTTAACTCTGCATTAGTACCTACAACACGTTCCTTAAGGACCTCCACAAAATAATCAGGGCTTGTCTCCTGAATGAAGCCAGCAACTGTTAGTGTGGATGCAGCCTGCTCTCCCCATCCCTGTGGCTAGGTGCTGCTGAGAGCAATTAAGAGGGTTGTGATCAAAGGGAGCATGCCTGCTCTCTGGAAACTGTCTCATTCTGTCAGCACTTGAAAGTTACAGAAAGAGGTTAGCTCTTTCCTAAGAGTTAATCTGCTAATAAGAGGGACTTCAGTTAAGAGAAAAATCTTTCAATAGGAAGGAGTAAATGTAGGTTATGAAGGTGCATTTAGCTAACCCTCGCTTTCTGATGACATGAAACACAGTTTAATGAGGCAGTCTCTGGCTTCAGAACTGAGAATGGACAGAGTGGTATTTACTGACACATATTAAGCAAGCACTACCAGTGTACTGCCAGCAGAAAGAGAACAAAACTGTAGTTCTGCAAACTTGGATCAACATCTGACAACCAAGCATGACTTGTAAAGAACAACTAACTACAAAGAGGCTGTGTCATGGCTCAGTCTAAACACATGCACACATGCTTTTTTAAAAAGCTACAATACTATTTGATTTGTTTTTACAGCCTATCAGTTGTCAGTGGTGCCCAGCATTCTATGTGGAGCTGGAAAATGGCTTTCCTGTTAAAGTAACTTTTTAAGTTCTCAGAGAGACAGCTCTACTGCATGAAAACATGATTCTCAGATTTCTTTGAACAGTCAAAATAAAGAAAATAAGAATAGCACAGCAATGTTGATAGTGGTTAGCAAAACCTAGAGGGCACATCATTAAAGAAGTAGCAGACATAGCCCGTTGTGGGTTATTCTATTCAGGCGTTCTAGCGTGGTAAGTAAAGTATCAGCTTTGTTGTGGCACCACTAGGACCTCATCATTACTGTCACTTCATGCACCTGTGCTCCTATTCATTATTTTTCCTTTAAAAACTGACCAAAATGAAACAAAGACAACTGATCAGATATCCTCTGCAGGATGTGCCTTCAGCAGTGGAGTTTTCTGGACTAGCACGTAATATGACTTCAGGATTTCTGAAAGCAACTCCAAAGCACAGGAGAGAGAGTTTTTTAAAGTGATGTTCTCCTGTCAGAAAAACAACGCTCAGTGCTATTCCTGCTGTTGTACCTACCTTGTCTTGCTGTATACTCATTGTCTTCGATCAGCCTTGCTAATCCAAAGTCAGCAATCTTGCATATTAGTCCATTCCCCACCAGAATGTTTGCAGATCGCAGATCTCTGTGTATGTAATTCATTCGTTCAATATATGCCATTCCTGCAGCCACCTGTGTAAAACACAATCAAGTGCATTTTAAAAGGAACTCAAACATCTGTGAGCTTTGAAACATGCACACCTAAGTGCTCAACACTTTGAAGACAGACCTGAGCTGCCATGTCCACTAAGTTTGGTAGCTTCAGAGCTCTTCCTTCTCCATCTTTTAAGAAATCTAGCAAGCTCCCTGTAAATGCAGAGATGACACAATACAGAAATGTTAGGGAAACAATGGCTATTCATCAGGTTGGAGGTGCAACAATATGTGCAATATTAAATACAACAGTGCTTTGAGTTCAAGTGGGCAGTTTCAGAAAAAAAAAACAACGAAAGACAAAACAAGCAAACAAAAAAACTGGTATTTTAAAATTCTCCTACTGTACTTGTTTCAGTCGGCTGTAAGATTGGCTTGCAGAAGTCTATGTCACTAGTCTAAAGAAAACTGTAGGGAAAAGAAAGTTGTTTTTAATTTTCCTGATTGTTACTAAGAAAGCTGATCTTTCCTCACATTTCCAGTGCTCTTTGAAACTGCATACTTGCTGCTCTCAAAAGGCCTCAGCTCACTAAAAAGTGTCAGCCTGGTTCCAAGCTTCACAAGCTATGGAAAAAGTCAGATCCTGGCTCAACCTTCTCCAAAAGAAAGGTCAGCCTGAAGCCTGGTAAGTCTAAATGTGCTAGCATTAAGAGGCTAATTTTCCTTAGAAAATTAGTAACCACGCTATTTGTAGCCATCCTACTCTAGGCAACAAACAACTAGCTGTGGCATGAACTATGAATTTTAGAAGATCACTATGTAAAACTAGAGAAGACCAAACAGGTCAAATGGAAGTGATTTTAGTAAAAGCAATATGCACATAACTTCCATGTGAGAAGGAAAGCAAGGAGGCTCCCTGTAGCTTTTAAAAATCTGCAGCTTCACAATCTTTTACTTAAACAGGGAAGTGTGGCAGTCTCCTTTAAACAAGGTCAGTGAACTGGTTTAACAAATAAGGGGAAAAGACAGATGATTAGGCCTTTTTCCCCTGATAAATCCTGAGCCTCAAGCTCAGAACCAAACATATAAAATGGCACTGTAAAAACTAGTAAACTAAGCCAAAATAAACCATGTATTTCAGAAGACTTTTGAGAAGTTGTTTTTTTAAGAGGAAAAAGCACATGCTTGTCATTGAGACATATGATTAAAATGTGAGTTAGTCAGTGCTTGGATGCCCCTGAGGAGGGAGGTGGGCAGGCACCTGCCAGGAAAATAAAAATCAACTCCAAATAGACTGAAAAAATGTACTGAAAATTTCAGTGTATTCTCCAATGTACAATGAAACTTCCCTGTGAGAACTTACGTTTCCTATTTGGTTTCTTTGCTTTTCCAAAACAAGCAGATTTTTTGCTCTGCTCTCAGCACCCCTGCTGGAGATCTGATGGAGCTAAACGTTTTCTTTTTCTCATTTTACTACATTGTTACCAGTTAGGTAGCTTAAAGAAAAAGAGAGGAGAGGAGGTGGAAGGGAAGGGGAAGGAGAAGAGGTAGGAGAACAGGAAAGTGAAAAGAATCTAGCACAAATTTTCTTGATGTGTTTCTTGCTTGTGTATCTAGGTGATTTTAGGCTTTCAGTCCTATGCAGTTGAATGACAGTCCTCCTGAAGCAGAAGTGAATTTAGCTTTGTGTTCACCCTTTCCTTCCTCACACACTGTTCAGGCATCACACTCTGAGCTTCATAAAAAAAATGTATTGCAATCAATGGCAGCAGCTCTAGCTTCACCTTTGCTCATGTACTCTGTGACAATATAGATGGGTTCTTCAGACACCACAGCATAAAGCTGGACCAGCTTGTCATGTTTTAGCTTCTTCATGATTTGGGCTTCCTCCAAGAATGATTCTGGAGACATAGTGCCAGGCTTCAGAGTCTTGATAGCCACTTTAGTATTTCCATTCCACGTACCTAAAAGCACAGACACATAGTAAGATTTAATAGCTTCTATTCATTTTTCTGACCGATACCTAATGTAACGGAGGAGTAAGCTAGCAAGGACACAATAGTACTTTTGCAAGTGGTTTCATATTTTGCCTTTCCATTTGTTTTCCTCCCATGCCTCCCTCATATTTTAGTCTTTTTTGGTTATAAAAAAAAAAAAAATACTCCCATTGGCACTGGGGCATGATCTCTCATGCCTTACTCAGACAATGCTTCCAGTGGCATCCACAGAAACCTCCTCTGAGTAAGAAACTCGGGACTGCTGAAATCTATCTCCATTCATTTCCCTCCTAACAAGTAATGACTCCAGACAAAAACACGGTTCCACTCACAGATTTGGATAACAGAACTGGCTAAAGCCAGAACTTTCCATTTGCAAGACATTTTAACATTATTTTTTTTTTTTCTGAATTACAGGAAAAAATATATATAAGAAAAATTCCAAATTCCCAAGCAACAAATTCAGAATCGATTTCATTTCAGAAACACGGGCCTGTTTCCAAACCAAAATGAGTCTTTGTTCTTCTCCTCCTCACTCCTGGAAGCCCAGCAGCTGCTGATGAAAACACAAAGGCTCCTGCTACCCTCACTCCACCTCCCGGACCCTCTGCAGCACCTCACAGCAGGCAGCAGGGCTGCAGACATGCCAGAGCTGCTCCCGAGGGGCTGGGTGCTCCTTGAGCCTCGCACCAGCCCTGGGACAGGGAGAGCCAAAAGGATGTATAGGCCAGAAGTGCTGGGGTGCAGTGCCATGGGGTGGGGACATGGAAGGGCAAGGCCCCAGAAGCCTGCACAAGGCCCTGAATAGAGCTGGGATCTCTTTTTGGGGCAGGACAGATAGCAAAGAAAGGTAGTTCTGGTAGTTCCTGGACCAGGCTTCCCAGAAGCTTGCTTCAGAGGCAAGGCTGACATGGATCTGAGCTACCAGGAGCCTGCGAAGAGGGCTGCAGCCACCAGCCCTAGAGGTGCAGGATCCCCAGCAGCTTGCTCTGTCAGCTGGCAGAAGTCCAGGTGTTGCAGCTATGTGTTTTCATGCAGTCTTTTGGAGCTGACAGACATGCACAGAACTATGCCTGTTCAGAAAAATTCTTGGATCTCTTTGCTGATAAATTCACTAACACAGTCCTATAGTAACAGGAGCCAAATGGAATGGAAGCAATGGTAAAAGCTTCTTCAAAATGATAAATGCTAATTTAAAAATATCTTTAAAAATATTTCTTTTTTAATGCAGCTACAAGCAGTCCAGACTTTCCTCATCAGTTCTCTACACAGCACTATGACAGTGCATCTTTCACTCTGGATCTCGAAGATCCTATATAGAAAGTGATCTGTTGATGGGGAGCTGCTGTTTCACAAGGCAGGAGAACAACACTATGTGACTTCAGATATTAATAGTACTGGGTAAAATCTAATCCTCTGCACACGAGCATAAAAATAGCAGAAGATGTACACAGTACATTGAATATTTGGGCTAAAATACAGTTAACTTGTTTTTGTTAAAAGCACATCAACAATCAGTTACTGTGGCTCAGCATCTGCACAGGAGCAGACTAATACAAAATACCTTGATTGTGAGCTTTTGCAACCTGCCAGGGCATAAATGAGCTAGGTTGCTTTCTGTGCATTCAGCTCTCAGCTGCTGTCTCACCTAGTCAAGGCAGGGGAGAAGAGGTGGGGGAGCTGCTCTGAATGCTGCTTTTCATTTTCTTGACTACTCATGCAGCAACACACTGTGTTGCTTGAGGAGGGTTTGAGACGTGTATTAGCCAAAAGTGTGCAGTGCAAGTTTGTTTTTTTTTTTACTTCTGCCAGCTCACTGCCAAGTGCTGTGACCACTACTAATGCTGCAGTAAAGTCCTGAGCACCACCTAAGGCAGGCTCCTAAGCTCCTGGTTTCACCCAGTCCTTCAAAGCACAGCTGAAGTAAGGCTTTGCTTCAGTAGTGCTAATGTGCAAGCTAGGAAGGATGCAGCTTCACCTTCTGATTTCAAGCAGAGCTGCCAAAATCTTTTTCAATGGGTGAAATGAAGCATGTCCTGTAGGGAGACACTGATACACAGACCTGCAGAGCAGTCTCTGTCGCTTGCAGAAGTGCCACCAGTTATGCAAACTGTGGTGGAAACCGAGCCTCGTGGAAATCAGGGTTTTCATTACTGGCATTAATACACTAGGATTTTACCTGGTGTGTTCACGAGATTAACTCTGTGTTTGTTTGTTTTGCCTTGATAAAAAAACCCTGAGCTTCATTCTGTTACCACAAAACGCTTTCAGTAGTTGTATTTTGAACATTTTTCCAAACATATTCAGTTGTTAAAAAAAGAAAATTAAATAAAAAGGGTTAACTTATTCTCCCATCCAGATTTCAGTTTGAATAGTTACATTTTCTTGTTTTGCTTTGATATTTTTATATCTCACAGAAAATTAGCTATCTTTCATTAGCAGAGACCTTCCTCTGACCTCCTCTTGCAGGTGGTTAGCTACTACTTAATGCATTTTTTTATCCATTTTTACTGTGTTAATATGTTCCAATTCAGTAATACTTCACGGCTGTTAACATATTTTTACTATACATTAAGAAAAATAATGTCCCAACTGTAATAACATTTTTCCCATATCTGACAGATATTTGGTATTGGTACTTGGCACTTTATTTCTCATTGTTGATTTTTTTCTAAATTGCATTTGCTGCTTTAGCTTATTTTAACAGTTTAAGATCTATGGCACATAAAAGGTGACCACTAAGTATTAATATCAACTTGAAAGTCTAACAGGTATTCAAGATGAAAAACAAGAAAGTGAAACTGCAGTTATCTGGGGATGCTAATATAAAACATAGTTGGCTGTGTTTTTTGTTTTTTTTTTTTTCAACAGGTCAACTGCATTCTATAAATTTCAGAGACTTGCTACCACGCTCCTTTCTGTAGTCTTGAAACGGAAAACAGCTGCAAGAGCCCAGGAGAGCCCACTGGTTATTTTGGTTTTACATTCTTTGTGTCACTGCAACAAAAAGAATGACCACACTCCTCCACCAGTGTGACTGTGAAGTAAAGAAGCAACATATGGTGATTCTTCATTTGAATGAAATATTCTAAGATGTTACACAGAGTGCAATTTGGCACAAAAATTGAGCCCACCTCTCATTAAACGGCCACTATATTGTGTTTCAATGCTACGGCTATAATAAGATTTATATATTTTTTTAAATTACTATTGTTTTGTAGTCATTAAAAGAATGAGGCCCATGGAGAGGGGAGTATTAAGTAAAGCTGGCAAATGGGCAGAAAACAATGTCAGTGGATTTGGAAAATGTCAGTATTTCTGGACTTCAAAGTGTGGGTTCAGCTGGGCTGGGCAAGTCTTGACACTATTGTCCCTGGTCTCTATATCGAGTTACAGGCTTCTGTGATGCAGACACAAATTTCAAAACAATTAATGAAGTGGATGCATGGGAAAGCTAGCTTGAAAGTATGAGCTCGCTGACACTTTGCTTTAAAATTGGAAGAGGGGACAGAAGCATTTGCAGGGTTTGACCCCATCAATGCTAGAACATACGAGTAAAGAAAAATATCAATGTATGAGATTAATTTCTGGTTAGCCATTCTGCTTCACAAGTTTAGCATCACTTCTGTTTTAAAACCTGACACCTGTATAGCCAGTCAAATAAAATCAGTGCAAGTAATGAAATTTAAAGCCCTAAAGTCTCATATCAGTGTGTGTGTAAATGAAAGGAATTTCCACAAAGATTACTGCATTTAGGTCTGTTTGAGTGACATAAACCAATATTTCATGCTATTCTGATCTTTTAGCTTTAAGATTTCTACTTGAAATATTTATTTCAGCCAAGAGGGCCTTAAAAGATCCATCCAAAAGCAAAATATATTCTCTGCCTTACCACGCCACACTTCAGCGAAACAGCCCTGACCAAGCTTCTGTTCCAGAAATAATGAATCACGTGCAACTTCCCATGCATCTTTAGCCAATCCAACAGTTTGTGGGGTATTATTCGTAGCAATCACAGTTAAGTTAAAACACAAACCATCAGCTTTCTCTATAGGAGAGGAAATTAATAAAAAAAACACACTTATAATCCAAAATTATGCATGCATTGAGAAAGATGGAAGGTGACTTCTCTTTCAGTGCTGCATTAAAGTTCATTTGCAAACACTGATTTTTGGATACTGAAGGCAAAGACTTTCTTCTTAGCTTGCAGAAAAAGGCTCATTGGTATAATTAGTAGATTGCTATGTGAACCTTGATTTATTAATAAGAGACTGGTAATTTGTCAAAACTGAAGCCTTCCAAAGAAACACAAAATTTCAGTTTTCTTTTGCCATCAATTACAATGAGAGTTCAAGACTGAAGAATTTCAAAGCGAAATACACTATTCCAAAGGTATTTCTCCTAACAATTTGAGCTTTGTATGTCCTACACTTCACCTTCCATCTTGCAATCCCCACACAAAGAGCTATTTTAGAATAATTATTTTGCTCCATACCCATCCATACTTCCCCAAACTGCCCATTTCCCAGTCTCTTGATCAACTGTAGGGATTCTCGTGGAATTTCCCAGACATCTTTGGTTTTGACAGACAGATCAGTAAGCCTTGGCATTCCTTTATGACAGGGGACTACTAAGCGGCAGCAAAGACCTGCAGCTCTCTCTGATGGAGCCAGAAGTGAAGCCAACAGCAAAGGAGAGGAAAGAAAAAAAAGTGTGACATGAAACAAAAACAGTAAGCATAAAAACAATGCTACTCACAACAGCTGTTAGTTGCATACCACAAAGCATCCTGGAAGATTAGAAATTGAACACTGAAACATATTCATTTGAGACAGAACAGGAAATATTTTAGTTTCTGCTTCCACAGCCTGCCTTTGAAGGTGACCATCAATGGTTTCTCTTGTGGACTCAGGATTTCCCTTTTCCCACAGTGCTGCATTAAGATAGCTTTGTAAGTAGCTAGTATAGTACAGAAAAGTATCACTTCATTAAAAAATCAGTAATTCACAAACTGGCTTGTTCCTGAACTGAGGAAAAGAAACACAGAAAATATTCATTTTTTTTCTGAGAATTATATCAATGAAAATTTGGCATATTTTTTGCAGTATTTTTTAGTGCATCCTCTGAAAGAGTATTTCCTATAGTCTGTTCTGTGAGAAGATATTTTTCTAGGTATCCTCCGGAACTTTTTTCCTCTCATTTGTTATCAAGCAGACTTTTATTAGTGTATGTGGCCAGTCCTGCATTGTTTGGAGCAGATTCATTATACTTATTTCTTGCAAAGCTTCATGGAAGACTGAACTGTGATAAAAGTAAAAAAATATTTTAGCAAGAGAAAAAACATTTTTATATATATGTATGTGTATATATGTATATATATATATGTAAGGCCATATTGTTGTGTAGTATACTATATGGCACAAAATAGACTATGATTCAAAGCTGGCAGAGCAGCATGTATCTTAAAACAGGTGCAGCAGAGCAGGACAATAGGGGTTACTGATACTGTATTTCACACACAAATCTAATCTTTATTCTCCTGTACAGTATTTCTTTCTGGGAAGGTGAAAAGCTGGTTTCAGCATCATAGGTTGGGCAATCACCAAAATACCAAGCTCTACCTCCTCAGCTTGGGTGTTGTGGGATAGTGCATAAGTCCCTACAGACACCCTGATATGGATCTTGATGTGTTTCATGTATCCAGATGGCAACGACCACAGAACAGGGAAGATGAACTGATCAACTGGTATGTCTTATTCCAAGACAATTTCAATAGAATATTAGAGTAGAGATTATTCAAAAATCATGGAAAACCTTCTTATGAGTTTGGATGGATGCAGAAAGGAATTAGAGGTTTTCAAGACCTCCTTTTTCTTTAATTGAAAAAAAACCAAACCAACAGAAAAGCTAGCATGTTGGCCAACCTATAAGCCTGGACTGCATGCACAAGAACAATACTTATTTTTGAAAGGCTTACAGTTAGGGAATGCTCCAAGTACAAGTGTGCTGTTACTAGACTTCAGCCTGATGTCAGGACACCTTGGCGGTCTCAATATTTTTTATCTGGAAATCTGATCTTTGAAAGCCCAGACACTGCAGGTAATTATACTATCCCAGGCTGGAATAAATCTGGCTAACGAGGCTACTTGGCAACATGATGGGAGTGCAATGTGGAGACGGGCTGTGTCTGTGCAAAGCTACAATTGGTACTTCCAGCTCCTGACAAAGAACAGCCTGCACAAGGCCAGGCTGCATGCTGTCCACCTGGATAGTCTGGCTAGATGGCAGGGGTCCTCCAGTGGTGATAGGATGAAGGCTGAAGGGGACAGTGCAGAGTATACCTGTCCTACTGTGGAGGCACTGATGTATAGCCTCAGCAGTGGTTCTTCAGGAACCATGATTATCTTTACAGAGTCATTTGGGCAATGTTGAATACTCCCTTGAAGTAAATCTAGGCACTCACAAGTCCACCTTGCTGAACCCAGAGTGCTGAGCAGGCAGTTAGAGGCAGTGTTTATGCTTCAAGTGAGCTGGGGCTGCAAGTGAAACCTCTGGGAGGTGGATCTGTACTATGCCCTTGTGAGCTACTCTGCAAGGATCACACTGATCATGATGTCTTTGTGCTGCACAGAAATGACTGCTTCCAGATCTCTGCAGCCTTTGCTTCTGTGTGTGGGGGAAATACATGATCCAAATAATTTGAACACAGACAACTAAAAGTTGACATATACTAGAGTTTGTATGGGGTGGTTGAAAAGTGTCAGTTTTAATTTGAATTTCTATATATTATTAAGCTTATTTTAATGTAGAGTCACCAGAAACAACTAGAAATTCTCCCAGGAGCATACACCCATCAGAAACTGGGTGGAGAAGACAGCCAGATGTCTAGTATGAATAGCATAAGAATACAGCAGACAGAATACAAAGAATACAGAAAAAAAAAACCATCCCACAAAGAAGTTGATTTCCCAAGTAAAATTTATGAAGAGCTTTTGAGCAGTGAGCATTTGGGGTCACCTTTTATAATTATGAAAAGCTAAAGTAAGGAAATATAAAAATAATAATTTTAAATAAAAACTTCTGCTTCAAAAATGACCGAGCTGAGAAACATGACAATCTTATATGTAAGAATCAATGGGCTTATAAAGAAGTTGGGGGATTTTTGAGTTGTAGCTATTGTATACCAATTCTTAATGACAGCAGGATGCACATTTGGATTGAATAGTTTATATGACATTTTAGTCAAAGGAACTGGAAAAAAAAAAGAAAAAAGAAAGAGACTGGTGGTTGGACACAAACAGCATGAATAAAGAGACACCCAACTTGCCATATTTATTTTTAAAAGTAGACCAATTAAGATTTAAATGGTAACACTCTGCACATTGAACACAAATTCAATGGTAAACTTTCAGTCAGGTATATACACACAAAACTTTCAGTCATTACATTAAGTGACTGAATTCCACAATGCAATTTCCCATTTATTTACTAGGAGTACTGCACTGCAAGAGGGTCCATACAGCTCTTGCCTGTGTACAGGGAATTCATGCTTTGAGATATGCAAGTCAAATTCAGTAATTCTGTTCGCTTAGAAAAAGGAGAATGGGCAAAACCTCTACCTCAGCAGAGTGCTAGCTTTTAAAAGTTCAGCCACTGTAGGCTGTGAACAGTGCTCAAAACCATTTGTAACTGTAATGGGAAAGGGAAAATGGAAGATGCATTACAACAAGCAGAAGACATAGCTCAAACAACTCTTCAGGGCATCTCACACATCCCTCAGCTCAGCAGCAAACACTTGTTTTAAAGTAATTAAGAGTGCTATGTGTTATCTGGAAAGTTACCTGAATAATGCTGAACCAGCTGTTGAAGAGTTTCAAACTGTGCCCGAGTTGTGATATAATATCCACCATTGTCAAGTTTACGAATCTTATAATGTTTGACATGATCTCCTTTCATATCATCCCAGTCACGAATAGACAGGGAATAGGCACCTGTTGCAAGGAAAGGAGAAAAAAATTAAGTAGCTTTTAGACACAAATTTTGGATTGCTGATCATCTTTTCTAAAAGGAAACAGAAATTGCTTCAGAAATGCCTCTTGTACTCTGAAAAAGAACAAGTGAATCTAACACAATAAAGGAGGCATCATAGAAATTCCAGTCGTCACACTGTGTCCCTTTTGTGCTCTTCTAGAAAGAAATCAGGACTTCCATGCAAATGAAAACTCATATTTTAACATTTAGGGCTTCAGGTTGTTATATTTACTTTTCCCATTTAAGTGCCAGGTTACACTGCAAATACTGTCCTTTAGGTAAATGCCAGTAGGTGGTAAATGTCAAGATTTTCATAGGAAGCACTGACAGTGACTTTATATACAGGAAGTGTTGTTACCCAGATGGATCTCAAACTCTGAACAACAATACTTTGCACATTACAGGCTTAAGAAGGTTGTACTACACTAACACTGTGCACTAAAAGATCTCCAAGAATTGCACGTTTCACTTCCCAAATCCATGCTGGAGCTTTAGAGCTTACGCTTGGGAATCAGATGCCCAAAGACAGGGGTTAAGTGCCATGTGAAATGCCCCAGAACATCACGCTTGGTAGCAGTTTTTCCACATTTGTCCTTCCATGCAGACACCCTGCAGGCATTTCAAATGGCTCTAGGTGTTAGGTAAAGCAACTGCAGTTTAGGGTCTGGATTTGCTTTTAGGTGTAGCAGGAGCTGTTTGCAGGTGTGCTATGGGCTTGATTTACATACTTCCAGCAAAGGTGCTATTCAGGCAGCTGAGTCCCAGCCCAGTTTCCATGACTGCTACAGCTCTGTAGATACTGAGGCAGGTTTGAACAATAAGTGCCTGCAGTTACAGGCAACTGAACTGAACTCCAGCTCCCACTTACTGTAAGGGGAGCTGGGACAGCAGCATGGATATCTGCACGTTCCAGTGTCTTAATGTGAAGCACTGTCCTATTGTAGGTAACAGTGACACCCACATCTTGTTTCTCAACATTTCCAAAGGTGAAGCCACACTTTACAGCATAATACAGTTTTCTGAGCAAAAACAATGCCATTTCAAACATAGTGAAGAAGTAACGTCTCTACTCAGCGCTCAGATGGATACTGTGTTTACTCAAGGGTAAATCAGGGATTAGAATAAAAATACAGAGGTAGATGGCAGCTGCAAAGGTCTCAGGAAAGTCCTTCTGAAGTTTGGGCTGCTTGCACTGGTAATCATTTCAACTAAGGGAAGGGAAGAAAAATCACTAGCAGACAATCCTGGATAGCCTGGAATGATTTTGTACAGGTCTGATGGCACTGACTGCTGCTTATCCAAATCACAGTACTTCTCAGTGCACATGACAAATTCACATCCTCTAGAATCATCTCCAGATAAACAGTTTTTAAAAGTTCCCATAGTTACATGGTTGAGATTCCTGATAAAAAATATCTTCCTTTAATGTCTCCCCAGGAGGAAATTTTATGGGATTCTAAAATTATTCTCACCACATTAAACTGCAAGAAGTAACACTGGTAAATGGCTCACCAGTGAATGCAGCTGCAGTAGGGAACAAAACTCCACTCTGACTCCAAGGATGTCTCAAACTCTCTGCTTTTTATCCTCTAAACAGGAGGAAAGAGTCAGAACTTACAGAAATGATTCTGTTCTATGTGAATGGGAAACCCTGAGAGAAGTGGCAGGGATCTTATTTCTAAGTGTAGAAAAATACCTTCTGTTTAGGTTGTTTTTCTGAGGAGATTCTCCCACTGAGTAGGTACATTACTCCAAGCTAGGAGTTCAAAGCTTTTGGGGGATTTGCAAGCTAATTTTGTTCATGCTTTGTACCAACACTGCTACTTACGCACTGTCAGCCTACTGTCAAAATCTTACAGGCAGTGTTCTCCACCTCTGCTTTTGTGAGTTTTCATCCACAAATACAGCAGCAGCTGTATTTTCTTAGTCACACTCTCTGTCTATCTGGTCGCTATTTTAGATTCTTTAGGAAAAAGTAAACAATCTTTGGCTCCAGGTCTGCAACTAGATCTGCGTGGGTGGCCCTTTGTGGACCTCCGCTGACCTCAGATCAAATTGCATGACTGGTGATTTAATTCAAATTTGGACAAAAACAAGAACCAAGGTGGAGTTTATTATTCACTCATTTAGACTATTGGTTATTTAGACTATTATTATCCGCTGATAGATTAAAGTATAAATGATATGCATAGTAAAAATATGGCTAGAAATACATTACAATATATCACACTAATGAACTTTTAAAAAAAAATGAACCTAAAGCCAGACAGCATTTGAGGGTAGAGATTGAAACCAGGTGAAGGATTATACAGACAAGAGCTGATGAATTATCTGGGTAGTGAGGCACTGAGGGAGACAGAAAGTCAACTCTGATTTATTTTGGAAGTAAGGAGAGAAGGCGATCGTGATGAACGGAGGTTAAATTTATGCTGAAGTCAACCACGATGATACTTTTAACATGATTCCAATTAATTTTATTTTGTTATAATTTAAAGCAGAAGGGACAATTCTAGGTCACCAAACAATTCCTGCCTGAAGCCCAGGATGATTAGCTGGGGCATGGCACTTCGAGTAGACTTACTGGAGAATGTGCCGTGCACTCCTCCCAACTGATATTTTTTCTCCCGTGAACAACAAGCCTTCTTTTTTCTCTTTTAAGAACATATGCACCACAAAGATGAGAAGGGAAACAGGCATGACAATAAATATCCATGTTGTGTTTCTTCCAGTGGCTGAAGATGTAGAAAGCCTTAAGCCTTAATGCAGAGAAATTCAGGTATAAGCTGATATTCTGCTATAAGCCCAGCCATGATGGATGGATTACTCCATTTCCTCAGTGCTTTTGTGCCTCACTAAAAGCTCTAGGAAAAATCCTGACTTAGATACGTAAGCAGTTTTGCAAAACACATCCCCTATCACTGTGTAAAAAAAGTCAAAACTGATAACATAGTTTAGAGAAGCAATGTTGTGTCTGTTTTTAGGATCCATGCCTGTATTAGAGAAGTCTTCAACTCAGCACAGAGTGAAATGAAGCCCTGCTCCTCATATACACAACAACTGCTGTTGATAACAGACAGGTGGAGGCTATTTGCAGAAAAAGAGCAAGTTAGATCATGTCTTGGTTCTAGTGCTTCACTGCTGCATAAGGAATGGTGAAGCTGTGGAGTGGCAGGATGGGACATCAGCCGCCTGAAACAACAGCCTGTCAATGCCAGTTTTGTATCATTAATAGTCCTCAGCATTAGGTATAGTGAAGGAGTTCAGTGACTGGAGGAGGCAAAATGCTAAAACTGACACCTTTAGGTGACAGAATGCAGCACCTGAAGTTAGGTCAGGCAGAGAGGAGGGGGAAGTGGTGCTTCCTTAAGTCCTTTTCCAGCTGTGACTCCAATCGCTTTGCATGCTAACACTAGCTGATGAAGTGCACTCTGATCAAAGCTCTGACAACTCAGTGCTTTAATTACATGAGCCATTGTTAGACTTCAGAACTTAACTCTAGTGACTTATGTTTTCCACAGCTGCTGGTTAATTGAGAAATGGCCAAGTTTTTTTTCAGTTAGTTGCATGTTTTCTAATCGGTGGTTGTATGAGTTTGAGAGATCTTTCCATACATTGGAAATTTTGAGGAAGCTGTTGACAGGCCTCACAAACAACATGCAAAAGCAATGGTAACACCCACCAAGAAAACAGGAACACCTCCAGTATTTTTAAAGGGGAGGAGGAGAGCATATCCTTCCACTTGAATTCATCAGAATGTATACAGTTCAATACTTTCTGAATATATTAATTAGAAATATTTTCAGGTATTCCTGCTGTTAATCTATGAATTTAAAACTGCTGCATCATCATCTTTCTTTCTTCTTTTCCTCCCTCCCTCCACAAGGGTTCAGCAATTTAGAGGGGGAATGATGACAACAAATCCTGATCTTCCCAAAATAATAACCAGTAACTTCCTTCCTCACACACTATACCTTACATCTTGAGGCCAAGAAGATCCAGACATTCTTTTTGTTTTGAAGGAAGCAGTAATTTTCTCCAGACTACATTGCTGAATCCCATCATCTATTCTTAGTCTATTCCCTGGCTCTGTCTGGACCTGAATCTGGACACCAGGAGCACTGTTCTGAGGGACCTGTGTCCACCCCACAGCACTGTGGAGGTGGCCAGAGTGGCAGCATGACGTTCAGAGTGCAGCAGCAGAGCACTTGCCTGGGCAAGACTTAAACTGCAGGTGCCATGCGTTTAACTTGACATGAGATGCTCTTGGGTCGTTCTCTGCTTCAACACTCACTCCATCACTTGGGAATTTTCCAGACATCTAATTCCCTAGCACACATACTTGCGACATGACATTTTCTCTACCTTTTAGCACCGGACACAATATTTTACAAACTTAGCATGATTTTTTTCCCTTCACATGTTTTCACATTCATAGTCAGAAAAACTGTGGCCAGCCTACCTTTGGTAGTTTCACTTTCCCGGATCAAGAAGGTACCTCTTGGGTTTCCAAATGACAACAGCTGCCTCTCAGCATCTTTTCGGCCAAGTTTGCCAAAGTACCACCTTAGGGAAAGATCGGAAGTAGTAAGAAAAATGCTATATAGGATTACTAGGTAGTGTCACAGAGCTCAGACACGGTAGATTATTCGTGGATACTATAGTTATTCAAGAGCATTCAACCACCACGATTGTACTGTGTCATACTTTCAACCACTGGTCGTACTTTCATTGTGGTGGGGCAGTAAAGAGAGATCTGTGGAGTAGATGCTGCATATGTTGTACAGTAGCATGTGCATTAAGCCTATAATGAGCACATGCTGAGAATGCTTTTTCAGTGTCTTATGACAAAGGCCAGATTTGGATAAACAGTAAGACTTGGTGTGGGGAAGGAGTGGGCAAGGAAGAGATCAGAAAAATGCACTGCTGCTGAAGAACAGTATTTTTATAGATATTTCTATAAACTACATATTTGACTTACAAAGTGACAGTTCAGCATTCAATATTTTTTGCACAGTGCAGCACTGTGCAGCTATAAAACCTCAGCAGAAGGACCAGATTTAACCATTTTACTGTGGTTCTATAAGACTTTCACAGTTTCAATACCTTTTTCCTTCCTGCCACAATTAATTGGTAGTTTTTCTGTTTTTGATTGGTTGGTTGGTTGGAGTTTCACAAACAACTAAGACAGAGCTATTCCAGAGATGATACTTGGTATCCTTATAACTAAGTTATCAGAAAAATGTCAGTGAGCTACAGTAAAAGTAATCAAGGGTACAGACTACAGTAGTACAATAGTAGAGCCCATGGCCTTCTGTGGAAATGATTCAGATGACATAGATGCCCACAAGCCATGCTTTGTGCCACTGCCATATGCAGACACATGAGATACTACAATATAACTTTGACACTGGAAATAATATGGATACACACATCACTCTATTTTTTGCATGGAAATGTCTCATTATGCTGCCTACTATATGCTTAGTAGGCTTTCAACCTCTTGGAAGATATTTGTTGATAAAATGTTTAAGAGACAGTCTGCACACTAATTGACTCCAAACATTTTTTGCAAATTCTTTCAGGAAAAGTGAGGGCATATTTCTCTTGAAATTAGTTGACACTTGAATAAAGGAAACAGACCAGCATTCCTTAAGGTTTTCTTCCTTTGTTTTGACACTGAAAAAACACTGAGCTTGTGCTTCTTTTGTTACTAATTACCTAATTATTTATCAGTGCAGTCATGAACTGAAATAAAAATAATGTAAGGCATTTGAAAAATCACAGCAATTCATCAAAACAAGCTCAAATCCCCTCTAAAGCAGCACTAATGGGTCTTTATGGTGAAAAGAAAACATACTCCTCTGCTTGGATGGAATCGACTGGAGCCACATAATTACTGGGAATGTAACCAGTTTCGCCTGTTGTCAGGGACCGAGCCTCCCACCAGTCTCCTTCCCTGCAGAAAAAAAGGTGAGGAAAAGTGAGAGAGAGACAGAGTTGTAGGGATGGTGATCTGACTGCTAACAGAACTGGCAGGTGGTAGAACTCTTAGCAGCTTCTCTCTGTATCAGGGTATACTTTGGAGAGAGCTGTTTGCGTCTCAACCACAAAAATCTACATATTTCTTTGCACCTATTATTATTTCAGCAGTGATTAGTAACGCAGCCTTCTGAATGGAGCATAATGGCAGGTTTGGTTATGGCTGATTTTGGACTAGAATATTGAAAACTGTCTCCATAGCAATTATTCTAATACAGACCCTTGAGAGAGCTTATATGAAAACTGCCAAATGGAACTCTGTCACATCCACTGCTGATTCTAACATGGCATTCAAACTTCCACAAGCATAATCCATCTGAAACTCCAAGACATCAAAAAACATCTATCAGCATGGAATTTTAGACTATCCTTAAAGATAACACTTCATCCTTTGGGTTCCTTCTCTTGGTCACCTGGAGGAGATATCTTAATTAGCAAAGGACTTAGCTGCATTTTTGAATAGGTACGACCCCACATCCTTCTATGACATATCAGCACTAAGGAGTCCATGCAGGACAATCTTATGGCACTACTCCAGGGGGCTCAACATTAGTTTTTGTCAGATAACTGTGTGTACAGTCAGATACAGAACTGTCCTTCAGACACTGACATTGTTGTAGAACTCACAGCTTTAACAGATGTTTATTGCTTAGCATTTTACAGGACGCAATGATTTGGAATTTAGCACTTTGTATTTAGTTTTCAGCTCTAGATTCACTAATGTCTAACTCCTACTGCTAGAAACAAACATTCTCTTCTGTATTTCTGGACTGCTTAGAAACTAATTCTCAGTTTCTCTCTCTGTCACTAACTGAAACATAGTCAGAACTTATCAAACCTGGTCAGAAAATTCAGCCTCTTCAGTAAGCAAGCAGTCACAGAAATCACACTGACGGGGCTATTAGAAGTAGGCAAGAAAGGCCGTGTGAAGGTGAGCTCTTACACATTTACATTTTCAACTCCACTTTCTCTAACAGCTTGAAAGAATATGTAAAACAACTAGAAAACAGTTGTGATGGATCAAAAAATAATGTTTCCAATTCTACAGCTCAGAAAGTGAATAAAAACTAGCTTTTCTAGATGCTGGCAGCTGTCACTATTTTAATACATATTATGTGCATTAGCATGTCAGGCAAATGGCCCTGTTTATGTTACTAACTTTTCCAGCTGAAGTGCTAACACTACTACCATATGATGCTGTAGTTGATTTCTGAGAGATTATGCCATACGATAGTTGATAAACAGTCCAGCTCCTTCACAGCAGTCAGAAACAGCCGGCAGAACCGTACCATTATCACTAGCTCCCATTTCTTTTCCTTACTGCACAGACAGTCCACTAGATGGAGGTATCTCATCGTATCTAGGGAGGGAAAAAGACGTGCCCTACATCAGAACAAGAACACCCCTCTGCTTTGGCAGGGAAACCTAAAATCTCTCACAGCATTGCCAGAAAGGAGGAATAATGCTATCTTTTTTTCACAGCTCCTAATTTTAGACACCCACCTGACAAACCCAGGTTAGGAGAAGACTACTCAATGGAGCTAGTCAGAGCACGGCGTGCAGGAGTGGCAGTGGAGATGTTGATAGTGGGGTGTTTCTGGGCTCTGAAGTCAGCCTCTGCTCCAAACCACTCTAGAAAAGCACCATTCCTGACACGAAATTGCAGGGATACCCTCTGTATGCCTCTGCCTGAACTTTTCACCCAAAGCACAAATTAAATTTTATTTGTTCAGAGTTATGAAAAACCTGACCCCTATAAAAATTCCTGAAAAACTGGTTTAGTGCACTTTTGTGCTTTCTGGTTGCAAGCAGCAGTGGCAGACTCTAAAAAAATGGGCTGCTTTCATGTTGCTTCTGATAGAAGTGAAGAGATGAAGCATTCTCACAGAAAAGCTGTCCTCTGGAGATTCCCAGCCTTGCTGTCAGTACTCCAGGGCCATGGTTAGGTCCAGTGGTTATAAGCAGAGTAGGCTGAGCTGGGAGCTGGGCTTCTAAATCCCTACAGGAAAGTCAGTAGATGCTTGTTTTTATTTCTTTTTTTTTTTTTCTCTTAAGTAACCTTCCTCCAGGCAGTAACTACTTGCATCAGAATGCCTGCACTGCAACCACCTGCAATCTCTCTGTCCCACTGACTCAAAGTGTCATTGCATCACAAGTCCCTGTGAGCACCCCCTAGTTTCATCAGCTGGTACATGTAAAGAATTTATAATGCATGCATTATCTGCTCATTTCAAGTTATGGCACAGTTCACGTAACATTGGGAAAGCAGCAGGCAACATGGAAAAAAAGGGATAATAGGTTAAAAAAGATTTTTTTCCAAGGGGTAATTTAAAAGTAGAGAGGTTTTTAAACTGCTCCTCTCTCTACAAGTTGTAACTGAAGTTTCTATGCTTTCATCTACATCAAAGCTCTTCAGCTCTGTGGCTTCATGAAATATTCCACAGAATTACCTGATTTAAAATTATTTTTTTTAACTTTAATTCACATTGAACCAATTCCAACCTTGGAGTTGTTCTATTAAAATGAACAGGAACTGCATCAGGGATGAGCTTGCCTCACTGTCACACAGTATAAGAAATAAAAATGAGAAAAATATCAAAAAGCCTCTAAAAACTACATATTGGTGGTTAACCCATTTCTACCTATGCATGGTAGCAATATTGAATGTAATACTTAGCCTTCAAATTTAAGATCTGAGCCAAAAATTACAAGATGTTCTGATATAGGTCAATAGCACAGTAATTTTGAGATGTTATTTTTAAATTGCTTTGGGATTTTTTTTTTTCTTCCTCTGGACAGTTAATAAAATTAATTTTAAGTCAATGATTTCCAGGATGAAAATGTGGCTTTCATGTGAAATGCAACTGTACAGTTATGCGTTTTCATTTCACTTACTAGCAAGCTCAGATTATATCACCTACTTTAAAAGAAGAACTATGACTTTTAAACCTATGTTGACATGCAAGTCTGTGCAATTTCTCCTTTGTGAACTGGTTTTTAGCTTGTTCCTGTGCAGAGACACTTGCATCAGCTTGCAGAAAGTGCTAGTACAAGTCTTGTAGAATTTCTGTTACTTCTGGTAAAGCTCAGAACTGGTATTCTCAGTTCTGAACGTGTAACAAATACTTATTTTTGAAGTAAAGCTGCATGTGGTTGAGTTTTTGTTTCTCTAAAATAAAGCACTTTAAAAGCAAAGACAAGTAAATAAGCAGAATAAAATCCCTACATATCTTGAATATCCAACATTATATTTTACAAATAATGTAGGAAGACAAATATAATTGTCAACGTTGTAAGTTTCAAAATATTAAAAAGCATATTTCCAAGCCTAAAACTTACGAGCTGTTAAGAATTTGAAATTTTTCTCCTTTGTGAAAACTTAAGTCATCTTCTGTTCTTGCTTCATAGTCATAAAGCGCCACAAAAAGAGTTACACCTGAAGAGGAAGATAAGTGAGTTACATTCCAACCAAAAAACAGAAGGGAAAGGAGCATCCACCAAAAACAGAAGGGAAAGGAGCCTCAGGAGGCCAGGTGGCTAAGTCAAATGTAAGCCATTTCAATTGTTGAGGAGCAAAATAAACTGAAGCCTCTTGCTATCACCTCCTGCTAATCCTTGTGTTTTTATGCAGCCAGTGGGCATACCACCTCCTTCAGTTTATAGAGTTAGCAGACCTCTTGGTTTGGTGGCCACACACAATGCAAACATTTCAAATAGGCAAGGGGGTTTTGAAGAGAGCGTAGACATATCTACATGAAAAATTTCTTATTAACCACTTGAAGTGGCTTAGACCACACTTTCCATTCCTTGATAGAGGGATGAAGTAGTCGTTGGACATGTATACATAATTTCTCATCCCCCAAGTGAACTACCATCTGCAAGCTTGCAAGGATAGTGATGAAGACCCAGCTCCACTCCAACTTCAATCTTTGCAGTAATTAATGAGTAACTTTTCCCCAAAGCATGCCAAGACAGCTGTGACCATGGCATGGTAATGTGATTGATACTTAACAAGTGCACCAAAACAAGACTTTGAAACTCACCCGTTCCTCCTCTTGTACGCAGCGTCCCTGTATGAGAGGAGGAGTTGACTCCACCAAACACTGTCAGTCCTTGGCCTCCTGTGGCATGAAAGTTGTTGTAGTTTGGAATTGAAGTCACACCAAAGCTTGGATAGTGCTGTGGCGTGGGATCTGTGCCATAGCGGTAGCCTGAGCTTTGTGTTAAACTCCCATCCCTCTCGTCAGTCAGTTTTGTTGCCTCTTTGTCCTTACATTGCACACAGCCCATTATCTAAAATCCTATGGGAGGAAGGAGAAAGAGAGGTATTAGCACACTTATGAGCACAGGTCTCCTTCAACCTACTTTTGATGAGGATCAAATTAAGTTCACTACTCAAAAGCTGATTTTTGAAAACGAACAAACCCAACAACCTGCTTGAAAAAAAAAAAGCAACATACTAACATACTGGACAAGCTCATAACACATTCTTCCTTACTAGGGCCACAGAAGAAGGCCCTGCCTTTTCCCATAGCAGCCTCAGATCTCTGACCAGCCGTTCCAGAAAACTGCTTGCATGGAGGCAGTAGGAGAAAGAAACCTCTCTTTCTTGCCCTTTGTGCCAAGACAGAACAACCAGAAGACAAAGCCACAGCCAAAAAGTACAGTTAGAGCTGTTCAGGTCTGCCTCCAGAGCAAGGCACTTAACTCACTGTTCATTTCTGACATTGCCAACCATGCAAGAGCTCCCTTCATGTAAAGTCAGTGTGGCCTTTTTTTCTTTGCTGGAGCTCTATGTGCCAGACAGAAAAGCAGATACAATGAGCTGATAGTTATCACAGCACAGGAAAGGAGAAGTGAACTCATCAGATAGCGCATTTAAAACAAAAGTAATGCTCTTTTATGCAATACTGAACTGGAGGGTAAGACATCTTGAAGCCAGATGCTGGGGTAGCCGAAAATATAAATGAGCTAAGAAAGCTGAGAAAGTTGTGGAGGAATTAACACGGTATATGAAGACAGCCTCAAAGCCCAGGTCTTTGACACGGGGAAAATGAGAATGTACACTTTGGAAAAATTTGCTCTACATTTGTTAATTCTCATAATCTCATATTCAGCATCCTCATGAGGCACTACCAAGGCCTGGGGTAATAATCTCTTGTAGTGTTAACTGCAGACAAGTTAAAAGCCTACTTCTGTGCAGGTAGAAGGAAACAGAGGACGAGACACCACATTTAGACTCAGCCCTCAGAGGTCAGCTCTGTTACCTGGTGTTATTTTTCCTCTGTAAGCTCTGATGTTGAATTCACGTACTGATGCTACTGAACTCCTTGCTATTGATGCTAGCTGAATCTTGGCACAAAATCAAGGTTTCTGAAGTTGAGGATGATGGATCTAGGGAATCAGATACCCATCTGCATGGACCCTTAATCTGAACAGGTGCAGTGAATCTTACATGTAGCTTGGCACAAACTGTGCTCCAGACATTAGCACTGCAAAGAAAAAGCAGTGACAACAGAAAAAAAATCTTCAAAAAAATTGAATTCCTAGGCATACTTTCTCCAGAATATATAAGTAGGCAGGCAGAAAATGCACAGCACAGAGAAAAAAAAATATAGCAAAGCACATTTTTCTCCCCTTATTTCTTTTCACATTTCAGCTAGTATCTGTCACTTAGAGTAAATAAAAAGCATATCCTTTTTCAAATATCCTCATTTTTCCGTAGCGGCCAGGCTGGCTATTTTGTATGCTTTACCCCAACATCAACACAGGAAATTAGTTTTGACAAACTCCTGGGATTCAGAAAAAGCATATTCCTCTGCTGCTAACTCTTGAAAAATTATGCAGTAGCTCTCTGTTGTCTGTGACAGTTCAGAGACACCTAGATACCCTCTCCTTAAGTCTAACCTGCCTAATTAAAAACCCCTTCTGTTGAAGGGTATTTTCCACAGTTTGAAGATACTGTCAGTTATTCTGCAAGCCTCTTCAGAAAAACAATCTTCATTTTAATATATTTCCTGAACTATATTGCTTGTAGTTAGCACACATCTACTACCTTTCAATCCTAGCTCAATTTGAATTTTCACCTTTCTCCATTTCTCTGAGACATATCAATCAGTCCTCAGTTGCTCTCACCAAATCTTTAGAGCTGGGGCTGGAGATACAGAGTTCTGTGCTGGGGCTTGAGGTTGTCCATCCCTGGGACTGGCAGTGACCCCAGGGGATCCCACAGACACCACAGTTGGTGAAAAGGTATCCAAGTCATCTTTCATAGTATCACAGAATAGTTTGAGTTGGAAAGCACCTTAAAGATCCTCTAGTTCCAAACTCCCTGCTGTGGGCAGAGCTGCTAACCACCAGATCAAAGTGCCATCCAACCTGGCCTTGAATGCCTCCAGGAATGGGCCAATCACAGCTTCTCTGTGATTGGCAGCCTGTGCCAATGCCTCACCATCCTCTGAGTGAAGAATTTTTTCCTTATATCTAATCTAAATCTACCCTCTTACCTCATGTCCTATCACTATGAGTGCCCTTGTAAAAAGTCCCTCTCCAGCTTTCCTATAGGCCACAATGAGATTTCCCTGGAGCCTTCTCAGAGCTGAACAAACCCAGCTCCCTCAGCCTTTCCTCATAAGCAAGGCACTCCAGCCTTCTGAGTATTTTCGTAGCCCTCCACTGGACTCACTCCAACAGCTCCACATCTTACTTATGCTGTGGGCCCCAGGCCTGGATGCAGTACTGCCAGTGGTCTCTCATGAGCAGAGCAGAGGGGGACAGTCACCTCCCCGATCTGCTGGCCATACTTCCTTTGGTGCAGCCAGGACACAGTTGGCCTTCTGGGTTGCAAGCACACACTGACAACTCATGTTGAGCTTCTCATCAACCAATACCTCCAAGTCCTTCTTCTTAGAGCTGCCCTCAATCTGCTCTCTGTCCAGACTGTACTTGTGCTTGGAATTGCTCCAGTCCAGATGCAGGACATTGTATTTGGCCTTTCTGAACATCATGAGGTTTGCACAGGCCCACAGGTCCAAGCATGTTCATGTCGCCCTGGATTGCATTCTTTCCCTCCCTCTAGTCTACCAACTTTGCCACTCAGCTTGATGTTGTCCATACTTCGTGTGAGCAGTGAGTAACTCTGTGCTGCTTTTGCCAACCTACAGGTAAAGCTTTCCTGGGTTCTTTTGGATCCTCAGAAACACAAGGGAGCCCAGCAGAATCACAAGGAGAGCAGTGAACCTGCAGGATGAGAGCTTCTTGCAATGGTACAAGGGTAGTACAAGGGTAGCCCACTGCAGTGTGTCAAGTTGGAGGGATAAGTCAGGGACATGCTTCTTGAACCTGAGCACAAGAAGCAAGACTCAAGAGGGTGAACATAATGCTGCTGCACAAAGTGATGCTGTGAGGGAAATCCCCTGTCAAGAGACTCAGATGGAGAAGAGCGAGCTATTGAAGTACTCTGATTAAGAGGTGCAAGTGCTGGCACATACATTCATTCACTACAAACCAGTGGAGTGTTAATGTAGGCTTTACTATTTAATGCAGAATCTCAGCAGCCTTTTTGTTGGATTGAAACCTTACCTCCCTGTGAAACTCTATCACTTCCTCCCTCTCCCCCTCCAGCTCTCTCTCTCCTCTTACTTGTTCCCATGTGCTTTCACTGGAAAAAAAATGTAGAAAAGAAAGCAAAAGAATGAAAGAAGAAAAAAATATGAGAAACATAAAGTTTCAGAGAGTACTGGGGAGGGTGGGTGCAAGAAGAGGTTTTCTTGTAGCTGCTGCTTTTGCAGACATGAAAATATATGTATGAGAGAATTATTTTTCAACTAGCTCTATCACTCATTTGCAAGCTTTCAGCTAAGCAGGTAAGATTTCCCACAGAAATCTGGGAAGATTTCATGTACCAAGTCACAAGAGCTATCACAACCCTAAACACTTCATTTACTCATTCTAGTCAGTTGATGAAGAAAAAGTTAAAATCTTTCAAAGTATTAATTGAGAAAAAAGTGAACAAACCAGGAGAGAACACAAATGTGTACCAGTAGTCTTAGAAAAAAAAAATGGTTTGGAGATTTCTTTTTATAAGGAATAATGTGAATAGAAAAACAAGGAATTATCATTGCTTTGATTTTTGTTTGTTTTATTGCTCCTTTTCTCTGCAGTGGCAGCATACAGGGAGGGAGAATTTGATGCAAAGTTGGTGACTGACAGAAAGGCTTTTTTCTTTCTGCTGCCCCTTTCCACTTTGTCAGTGTCCAGACAACCCAAGCATAAAGACTGCTTGAATGTACTCTCTTGTAAAATGTAAGAGATGGTGTTAATGTGCATGCAACTTTTCAAGCCAACTCCTTTAATGTTGTCTATTCCTGTCTGAAAGACTGCAGCCAGCTACTTTATATCATGGGGAGTTGGCTAAATGTGAGAGAATACTTGTGTGAGTGCATGCTTCAAGAGATTTCAGCTAACTCAGGGTTTTCATAGACAATAAATGTAAACTCCATTCAGCATCAGCCTTTACATGAATGAATGGAGTCCAAAAACTAATCTCCTTCAGTATCACAGAGGAGGCATTTCATATCCTAAAGTCTCCTCACCCCGCACGTCAGCACTTGGAGCACGGGAAGGCTGGAGTTATTCAGCCAGCACTGAGATCACCAAACCAAATCTGGAGTTGTTTTACACTGAATTCTCAGGAGACAAGCAAATAATATTGTTCATCCAACACGCTATGCAACTTATGGTAAAGGAACAAGATTTTATTCCATTTCCATTAGGAAAGGCAACATTTCTCAGATGTACGAGTTATAGAGTCATGCAGTGCTATCATAATTTGCCACCAATTTTGTTAAAATGTATGTAACCAGCCTAATTAAAATTAACTTTTCTTATGCAAACATATTGCTTTTATTTGTTTTCAAGATGCATTTTTATGGGCAATATAAAACATGTGTTTTCACGAAAATATAAAACATTTACATGGTTTCTAAGACTTCCTTAGAGACAAATGAAAATAACTGTTACAATATTTGTCTCTCTTCTAGTCCCTCTTATATTTCTAGGACACTAACATTTACATTGCAAGTGATCCAACATCAGCCTAACCGGAAGAGTAGTTTCCTCCCACATGGTGGAAACATTATTGGACAAAGATATAAAGGTAATTTTATTGTTATTAAGTTTTTATATACTCATAGCTCCTTAATTATGTTCAGTGCAGCTTTCTGTTTGGTGATAAAGCCTGGGAAAAGTCCAGGAGTATGAAGAAATGCTCACTTCTCATACTTGTACTTTAAGAGCAAAA